GGAGAGTTTATGGGGGGAAAAGGCAAAGGACTTTTTTTTTTACTTTTTAAACTGTAATGATCTCCTGATTCAATGTTTTGCCTTATGGTAAGAATGCAATGAGTAGTCAGGTGCCAGTGGCTCAACACCTTAGTCCTAGCAACTCAGGAGGTAGAGAGCGGGAGAATCAAGGTTTGAAGCCAGCCCAGGCAAATAAGTTATTGAAACCTTATCTCAAAAATATCCAACACAAAAAAGGGCTGGCGGAGTGGCTCAAGTAGTAGAGTGCCTTCTTAGCACATGTGAGGTCCTGAGTTCAAACCCCAGTACCACTGAGATTTAAAAAAAAAGGAATGCAATGAGTAGGTCTTGTATGAGACACTTTGTGGGCTCACAGAAAATTCTGTAGAAAGCCCCCATACTCCACTCCCTCATGGCTTTTGGGTTTTCTACCTGACCTCACAGTGTCCCTCTCTGCTCTAGTCTTTATACTTTTGTGGTGCTCTGGGACAATGTTACCAAGACTGTTTTCCTCCAGGTCCAGTGGCTATGGAATGCTCACCATCTCACCCCAGTTAAAGGCAGAAGTGCAGGTGCTGCAGCTGTTGGCTCCAGCCAGCCTTCCTGCCTTCAGGCTGCTCCATGGTGCTCAAATACCCATTTCTAGTCCTCTGCAAGTCAGGATGTTCCGAAGAGCTGTCTTGAGCTCCACCCTGGGGGCAGTAGGAGTGGGCCCTCGAGTTTCTGCAGCAGCTCTGTGGGGCAGGATGGTATATGCTTCATACTAGGCTTCATTCCTGGGGCCAGCTTTGACACATATCACCCTTGACACATGGCTTTGAGGCTTTATTCAAAATTGTAGACAACTGAAAAGTCTATTCCAAATCTGATTGATGGGGTCCTGAGAAAAAATGACTGGATTGAGACAAATCCACCAGTCAGTAGATGGAAAGTGAAGGCCAGCTCCTTTCAGCTCCCTATTACAGGCCAGTGCCTGCAAACGAATGTTTTCCTAACGAGTTTTTAATTGTCCTAACCCTGGTAATATCACACACACCCATGGCAAGAAGCCTATGACCCCCTTTCTGTTTCCCTCCCATCCCACAATTATCTTAGCCACATCATTTTCCTTAGAGTGTTTTCCTTGGAGCTGGTCTCAGGCTTAGAAGTGTAACAGGTGAATATTTTAATAGGGACCTTCTGGAATGCCTTTTGTAATGGTGAGATTTTCACGTCAAAGGACAGGCTGGTGAAGAAGACAGTGCGGAACTGCATCATATTCTAATTGCACCAGAATGGCTGAAGTGGTAGAGTGCCTGCCTAGCAAGCGTGGGGCCCTGAGTTCAGACACCAGTACTGTCAAAAAAAATTCTAACTGCATCTAATTTCGTGAGTCCCTGAGTTATTTTCTTACATTGTTTTGTACATGATAAATAAAAGCTTTTAACTTGAAAATACAGATTGATTCATGTCCCTTTATTCTAGTATATATGACTACACATCTTTCCATGTGCAAACACAAGGAAATGTTTTCAACATTAAAATAATTTGCTACAAATCTATATGAAATACCAGGTGTGGTGATGTATATCTATGATCCCAGCTACTTGGGAAGTAGTGGTAGGAGGATCATGATCTGAGGCTGGCCAGAGTAAAAGCATGATATGCTATCTGAAAAACTAAAAGCAAAAAAGGGCTGGGGGTATGGCTGAAATGGGAGAGCACTTGCCTAACAAGTGCGAGACCCCAAGTTCAAGCCTCTTCCTCCCCAAAACAATCTATATGAGGAAAGTCCGTGTTAGAGGTTTAATTCTGTTTTAATTTTTCACACCAGGTAGATAAAAATGATGGCATTTTTAGGTGACTAGCTTCTCCTCACACTCTCTGAAAAGTACATTTTCACCAGAATGCAGATCACACACTACTGAAGACGACATACTATCGGCTACTCAGGGAGCCCCAGTCCCTGCTCCATACCCATAAAAAAAACATGCCTTTGTTTCCTTCAGAAGGAGAGTTGGGAAGGCAGAATATTTTCCTTATAAGTCTTTAGTTTGTGTCCATTTCTTTGCAGAGGAAGCTGTAATCTGATGCTGATGAAAAAATGCCATCAGCACCTGCAAATGATGGCCCCAGCAGGAGCAGGTGAGCCACCTGTCAACGAAGACCTTGATTTGACCTAAACATAAGCACAAAGGAGGCATTCTTTGTTGGTCTTTGGCTTTTCCTACTGTGTCAGTGCTAGTTTTTCCTTCGGTCTAGTAGATTTAGTCAGCCGATGCCATGAAGGATGAGGGGAGGAAAGACAGCCATAGCATCAGAACGTTGGGTTCAAGTCCTAGCTAATTATTGCCATGAATTGCCTAAGTTCCCTGAATCTGTTTCCCTGTTAACAACACAAATATAGTCATATCTGCTCTCCTGACGTGAACATTTCAAGATAAGTTAGATGAAACTATTGAGGTATGTAAAAGTGATGTGAAAGCTCTTAAACCCTACCCAGCTGTGTGATAGGGAAACCACACAGGGACAGGCTGTTAGAAATGGGGTACACATCACTGCCGCAGTCAACTGGGGCAGTTTCTGCTCCCAGGCCACATGGTTGGCTTCTTGTGGTCCTAAGAATAGAGATGACTGTATTCCTTTCCATGCCCTCCAGGGCACTCCAAGGTCTGGCTTCTACCTATTTCACCAGCCTCACCTTGTGCCTTTTTTTCTTCCGTCCTTATCTAAAACTGCTTTCCACCCTTTTCCTTTTAACAGGTACCACTTCCTTAGGGCACCAGCCATGACTCCCTGACTACTAGGTCAAATTCCTCCTATTGCATGATCTTGAAATATTGGAAAAGTCAGAATTTACATTTATTTAAGTGATTTTGCATAAATAGCTGTGCCCTTTATTTGCTTGAGTGAGGAGCAGAAATAAATGTCTCACTTACCACTTTATCCTCCATTCCCAGCACAGAACCTGGGACAAGGTAAATGTTCAGTAAGTATTTGTTAAATAAAAGAATAAATGACCAGATGGATGAGTGATAGTTGCTTCTTGCAGACAATGTAGTAATAAGAAAATACATGGGGCTGGCGTTGGTGGCTTACACCTAATCCTAGCTACTCAAGAGGCAGAGATCAGGAGTATTACAATTCGAAGCCAGCCTGGGCAAATAGTTTGTGAGACCCATCTTGAAAAAAACCCATCATAAAAAAAAAGGTTGATGGAGTGGCTGAAGGTGTAGGCCCTGAGTTCAAACCCCAGTACCACAAAAAAAGAAAAGGCATGAGTATTTGGGTTTCACCCCTCATTGAAACTGGGCCCACAGAAGGGGTTGAATTCAACTATAATATATTGTAAGAACTTTGGTAAATGTCACAATGTACCTCCTACCCTCAGTACAACAGTAATAAAGATTAAAAAGAAAGCTAATTTATAACTTGTTACATATATGGCAGTCTATGAAAAACTTTTTTGGTGATTCTTACATTTTGGAAATTGAATATGAGATCTGATTCTTCAAGGATCTTACAGTGTGGTGGAAGAGTGAGTTGTGTGCACACAAAACATATTGAAATACAATAAATAATGAGACTAATAAATATATCTCTCTGAAAAAGGAAGAAACTTGGCCCACAGATCTTTGAGCCTTTGAGAAGGGGTGGCTGAAAAAAACCAGTCATTAGAAGCAGTTTTCTGATTTACCAGAGAAGGCCAGAATAAGTGTCAAATAAGACTGTTCCTTTGTTCTCAGAGATATATTTGGATTTAAATATGTCAAGTGGATGTACATGAATAAACAGACATAACAGAAAAAGGCCCTTTTCAGGGAAATTGTGACTCCCAGAGAAACCTGCTCTGGGTAGGAAGGTAAAGGTCGCTGAAGATGACATTGCAGCTGAGGAGACTGAAATGGAAATCTTAGAGAAATGGTACTTTTCTAAGGAGGGTGCTGGCCTGGGTTGCCTTGGCAAATCTGTTTATTCTTGTGTTGATGTATGAGTATTCTTGCTTGAGCAGGGGCTATCTCATGATGCAGGGACCATTGAGAGTTGAGAAGCGTCAGGCAGCCTCTGAGCTGAGCTCACAAAGCACAGCTCTCGGGTGGGGAAGAGAGCATCTCCCCAGTTCTGTAAGGAATCCAGCATGCCTCTGAGCCTATCTGGGGACACTGGGAGAATCATCACCTTTAGTTTTTCTGTGGGAATTGATGGCAGGCGCATTGGTGACCTTTCCTTTACTGGTTATGGGAGTGGGGGACAGATGGTAGTGAGGGGAGCAGGGTGACTATGCAGGGTGATTGGAGTAGATAGGTTCATGAGCAGCATGCCCGCCCACATTGGTTAGTAATGGGCCCAGTCACCCCAAGGTAACCGGTTTGTCCCAGTGTACCTGGCACTTTGCTAATTTTAGCAGCGAAAGAACAAAGTCCTGGGCAAACTAGGAGGGTTGGTCTTCCTAATTTGTGAGTGCACAAATGACCATTACCTTCATCCAGAAGACAGCAGATCACTCCCAGTCTTATAATGTAGCAGAAACAAGAGTAGACGTTCCCTCTGGGGTGCTAAGAACCTACCAAACAGTAAAGATCAATTGTGAAGTTCCCTTTCAGACTGCACACCCAAGGAAAGGGCCTATCCTAAGGTGACATTCTGAGTCAATAACTCTTCACTTTGCCAAGGCACCATCATCAACTGTTCTGGCTCTACGTTTATGACCTCTTGTTTGGTAGACACATTTCTATAATATATTTTCCTTAGTAATAAAATGATCAGGCACACTAATTAATTCTATGAGTTTGAAAGCATTTTTATATAAATCAAATCTCAAATGATCTAGACATGTTTGTTTGCCACTGTGCCCTGATTTTTCATTCTGAAGTAAAGATCACCAAAATACTCAATTCCTTGACAAATGCTATAGTGAACATTCTCCCCAAAATCATATGAACAAAGTGATGAAGGGTAAGAAAGAAAAATAATTCTACTGACATTCCTTTGTTGCAGAGATTCCTCAATAAAAACCAGTTCTAGATGGCTAGGTTGGTAGGTCTTGGTGCGAGGTAAAAGGTGCCATCAAATTCCTCCATTGGAGTACAGGATGGTGAGGCTGTGGGATCAGTCCTCCAGGGACTGGGCATGTCTTCTGTTCCCAGGCAGGCAGAGCAGATGAGGAGTAACCCACCAAGACCCAGGAAAATCCCAGCAGCCCAACCCAGGTAGAGGGCATCTCCAAACTCCCATCGTGGCACAATATCAGGAAGAGTGGTATCCCACAAGTCTCTGATTGTAGCATAGGCCATCCAGGAGACTGGAAGGAGGTAGTGGCAGAAGCTGATGCCTCCAAAGTCCCTCCTAGGAGGCACAGCTGCTTCTTAAGTATCCATCTAATCCTGTGGAATTGGAAGCATTCAGACCCACAGCCGGAGAGGAGAAGTCCCAGCAGCCCCAGCCCATGGGAGACTACCATGAGGATACGGGATACCTGGAGCTCCTGGGGCAGAGACAAGAAGGACTCAAAGGACTTGCACACAGTGCCAACTTCTTCCTGACTCACACAGGCCTCCCAGAGCCCCATGATCCAGATCTCCATTTCATTCAGGTCCAGATTGAGAGTCTTCCACTGGGGCAGGACGGTGGTGACACACGAGCACACCCAGCCAAGGAGAGAGAGGAGCAGTCCCCCCAGCTGGACTCTCCCACGGAAACTCCAGGCCATAGCTGCTCCTGCCACAGAAGCAGAAGGAGGACAGGAGACTCTGACTGGTTAGCAGGGACTACTTTGGGGAAGGCTGGAGTGGAAAGTCTCACATTTGCAATGGGTTGCTGTATTAGTTTTCCAGTGAACAGCTGAGGCAGGTGTCAGGAACTTGGCAACATTTGGGGTTTGTCCAAGAATAGGTGTGGGTGTGGATTCTGGAAAAGAGTCTGTGTATGGCAAATATCCTTATGGTAAGCCATCATATGTATTTGATGAATGCATTCATAAACTTAAAATTACTCCCCAGCTGTGAGATCGCAAGAAAGATGTTCTGGAAATACACTTGATAGAATCTTTCTGGGGGGCACTTTATGTTTTGTCTATTTAAATATATGCAAACTGAGGGACTAGGGTGTGGCTCAAATGGTAGAACACCTGTTCAGCAAGCATGAGGCCCTGAGTTCAACCCCCAATACCACCAAAAAAAAAAAAAAAAAAGAAAAACGTGACAACAAATTTAAATATATGCAGACTGTGACCCAGCACCTTATCTCCAGGAATTTAATTTTTTGTGAAGGTATACAAAGATTTATCAAATGTCCATCGAAATATTTTGATAATTGTAAGTCTTGGTTAAAACAAGGCAGCTGTTTTAAAGTGATGTTGTAGAAAAAATTTTAGTGACATGAAAACTGTTTTTGAAAGCCAGGTGTTGCCTGCCTGAAATTCCAGGCACTAGGGACACTGAGGTAGAAGGATTGTGAGTTCAAGGCCAGGCTGGGCTATATAGCAAAGGCCTTACCTAAAAAAGAAAATTTTTGATATGTTGTTAAGTTAGAAAACTGGATGATCAAATAGTACATACAGTACATAGAATGCAGGTTCATTTTCATAATGGTGCGTGTGTTTGTGTGTGTCACACAAAATGTTAACCATGGTTATACTGATGGTAGAATAATGGATAGTTTTTATTTTCTTATCTGTGAATGTTATGTTTTATACTTTTATCATTTATATTTTTATAAACAGAAAAGTTTAAAAATATTAATTTTTCAAAGAATGTATGAAAACAATTCCATTTACAATAGCCTCAAAAAAAATCAAATACCTAGGTGTAAACCTAACAAAAGACGTGAAAGACCTCTACAAGGAAAACTATAAACTTCTGAAGAAAGAGATTGAGGAAGACTATAGAAAGTGGAGAGATCTCCCATGCTCATGGATTGGTAGAATCAACATAGTAAAAATGTCTATACTCCCAAAAGTAATCTACATGTTTAATGCAATTCCCATCAAAATTCCAATGACATTCATCAAAGAGATTGAAAAATCTACTGTTAAATTTATATGGAAACACAAGAGGCCACGAATAGCCAAGGCAATACTCAGTCAAAAGAACAATGCAGGAGGTATCACAATACCTGACTTCAAACTATATTACAAAGCAATAACAATAAAAACAGCATGGTACTGGCACAAAAACAGACATGAAGACCAGTGGAACAGAATAGAGGATCCAGATATGAAGCCACACAACTATGAGCAACTTATCTTTGACAAAGGAGCTAAAAATATACGATGGAGAAATAGCAGCCTCTTCAAAAAAACTGCTGGGGAAAACTGGTTAGCAGTCTGCAAAAAACTGAAACTAGATCCATGTATATCACCCTATACCAAGATTAACTCAAAATGGATCAAGGATCTTAATATCAGACCCCAAACTCTTAAGTTGATACAAGAAAGAGTAGGAAATACTCTGGAGTTAGTAGGTATAGGTAAGAACTTTCTCAATGAAACCCCAGCAGCACAGCAACTAAGAGATAGCATAGATAAATGGGACCTCATAAAACTAAAAAGCTTCTGTTCATCAAAAGAAATGGTCTCTAAACTGAAGAGAACACCCACAGAGTGGGAGAAAATATTTGCCAATTATACATCAGACAAAGGACTGATAACCAGAATATACAGGGAACTTAAAAAACTAAATTCTCCCAAAACTAATGAACCAATAAAGAAATGGGCATGTGAACTAAACAGAACTTTCTCAAAAGAAGAAATTCAAATGGCCAGAAAACACATGAAAAAATGCTCACCATCTCTAGCAATAAAGGAAATGCAAATTAAAACCACACTAAGATTCCACCTCACCCTGTTAGAATAGCCATCATCAGCAACACCACCAACAACAGGTGTTGGCGAGGATGCGGGGAAAAAGGAACCCTCTTACACTGTTGGTGGGAATGTAGACTAGTACAACCACTCTGGAAAAAAATTTGGAGGCTACTTAAAAAGCTGGACATCGATCTACCATTTGATCCAGCAATACCACTCTTGGGGATATACCCAAAAGACTGTTACTCCAGAGGCACCTGCACACCCATGTTTATTGCGGCACTATTCACAATAGCCAAGTTATGGAAACAGCCAAGATGCCCCAGCACTGACGAATGGATTAAGAAAATGTGGTATCTATACACAATGGAATTTTATGCAGCCATGAAGAAGAACGAAATGTTATCATTCGCTGGTAAATGGATGGAATTGGAGAACATCATTCTGAGTGAGGTTAGCCTGGCCAAAAGACCAAAAATCGTATGTTCTCCCTCATATGTGGACATTAGATCAAGGGCAAACACAACAAGGGGATTGGACTATGAGCACATGATAAAAGCGAGAGCACACAAGGGAGGGGTGAGGATAGGTAAGACACCTAAAAAACTAGCTAGCATTTGTTGCCCTTAATGCAGAGAAACTAAAGCAGATACCTTAAAGCAACTGAGGCCAATAGGAAAAGGGGACCAGGAACTAGAGAAAAGGTTAGATTAAAAAGAATTAACCTAGAAGGTAACACCCACGCACAGGAAATCAATGTGAGTCAATGCCCTGTATAGCTATCCTTATCTCAACCAGCAAAACCCCTTGTTCCTTCCTATTATTGCTTATACTCTCTCTACAACAAAATTAGAGATAAGGGCAAAATAGTTTCTGCTGGGTATTGAGGGGGGAGGGGAGGGGGGGGTGGGTGGTAAGGGAGGGGGTGGGGGCAGGGGGGAGAAATGAACCAAGCCTTGTATGCACATATGAATAATAAAAGAAAAATGAAAAAAAAAATAAAAATAAAAATATTAATTTTTCAAAAAAAGTAAAATTTCCCTGTCTAAGGTAACTACCTAGACTCAGAGCATACCTGAAAGGCAGTGCCCCCTCCCTGGGACACTGCTGCTGCTACAAACAGATGCCAGCCACGCCAGCCTCCGTTCCTGTTGGTTGCTGCTACCAAGTTGTATTGCTGAGTGTGGCTAAATAAAGGACTTTGGCTTGGATACTTTACCTGTATTTAATTTTCATATGGCTGCTGTGTGACACATTAGGTAAGGTCCTCAGCTGGTAGGTGACAGGTGTAACACCTGAACCAGGCAGCTTGGGTTCGGACATTTCCCATTCCTGTCCTCAGCTGTAGCAGTGATTCTTCTGCCCTGCTCTTGCACACTAGGACACAGCACGTGGGGAAAGGCTTGTCTTCAAACCCAGGGATTTATATTAAAGTTACAAATGTCTGACCAATGTATTCCCTTATTCATGTTTTATCATAGTGCATACGGTGTGGTAAATACAAGTGGAAAGCAGAGGCAAGGATCAGTCAGCAAGGAGGACATACCTCCTGAGAAAGAAGGGTCTGCCTTCATCCTACTGCTGTCTCCAGTCTGAGGCACTAGTGATTACGAATGCCATCGGCGGAGAGAGGCAAGCTTCATCGTCTGGAATGCTGTTTTAGTCTTATGTTTTATTACAGAAAAAAGTTTGAACGTATGCAAAAGTAGAGAAATGGATAAAGAAATCCCATATCTAAAGCCTCAACTTCAAACATTATCTACTTATACTAATGAGATGTTCTTTTGGATTGTAGGTTCCTTCTGCATTTATGTATTCATTTATTATTTATTTATTTAGAGACAAGGTCTTGGCCTGGAATTTGCAATCCTTCCTGCCTCAGTCTCCTGAGTGCTGGGATTATAGGTATGTAACACCATACCTGGCCTTCTGCTGCTTTTATGACAAGCACAGGTACAAAATACTACCCAAACTTGGAAATGTTCTCTACTTCACCATCCATGGCCAGAATCATGTGTTTGATACTTTGCATCCAGAACACAGGTGTGCCACATATGTGTGAGTCATGGTGAGTCAGGAGGAATTCTTTCAGACATTGCTCCAAATTTCTTTGCCTTTTCCTGATGATTTGTGAAAATCTGGGAATAGGGAGACATATAAACCAGATAAATGTGAAGTAGGAAGAAGGTCAGGTTAGTAAGGGAAAACAAAATCCATTCATTTAGATTTTTTTTTTTTTTTGTAGGACTGGTGCGTGAACTCAGGGCTTCACTCTTGCAAAGCAGGTTCTTTACTGATTGAGCTACACCTCTAGACTATTCTGCTCTGGTTATTTTTGAGATGGGGATCTAGGGAACTATTTGCCTTGGCTGGCCTGGAACTATGATCTTCCCGATTTCAGCCTCCCAAGTAGCTTGAGCCTCTGATGCCTGGCTGTAATTCCTTTTTGTTAATTCAAGTACTCATTCATTCTGTATACATAGCAATCCTACTCCATTCTTTTTTTTTTCCAGTTAGAATTTCATTTATTTTGTTTTTAGAGACAGATGCTATACTGAAAGCCAGGGTTATGGGAAAGCCATGCTTGCCCAAGTTCACGGCCTCCCTGGGGAGAGGAGCCTTGCATTTATCTCCTGTGGCTTCTGTAACAAGTACTACAAACTCAGTGGCTTATGACAGTGGCCATTCATGTTGTCAGAAGTTTGAAATCAAGGTGTCTGCAGGGCCCAGCTCCCTCTGGGACTGCAGGGGAAAATCCTTCCCAACTGCTCCAAGCTTCTGGTAGATCCATGTGTTCCCGTAACCCTATCGTCATAAATCTTCCCCTCTGTCTTTGTCTCTTACAAGGACATTTGTTTCTGGATATTGGGTCCGTTTGAATAATTCAGGATCACCCCCTCATCCCAAGAGCCTTAATTTGTGAAATCCCATTTTGTTAAATAATGTCACCTGCATAGGTACCAAGGGTCTGATTTAGACATGTTCCAGGCAGTAAACAGGCACACCATAATAAATGCTGCAGATAAAATACATTGAAGGTCCAGTTGGAGAAGAGAAAATGAGTGAGGAAAAGAGAGCTGATAAAGGAGAATCTAGCTCTGGGAAGCATGAGCAAAGGTTGTGCAAAGGCCCTGTGGTAGGGCTTTAGAGGTGGCTTTGGGAGATCCTGGGAGGGGGAAGTTCATAAAGCCTTTGCAATGGGAACTGATGGTTGCTTGGACTAGGAGTGGTGACTCTAGCTCATATTTTAGTGGAAGAGCTGACTAGACTTGCTCAGGGATTGGATGGGGGGGTAGAAGTGTGTCTGAATTTGTAGCTCAGGAAGTTAATGTTGTTCCATTCTGTATACCTCTTCATTCTCTGTCTGACGCTTCCTTGTCTTGTTCCTTGACCCAGAAAAACAGTCTTTGCCTTATCCCATGGTTTTTCTGCCTAATGATAGGCAGGAGCTCGTGCAGTGTTTATGACTATGGATGGACTGGTTTCCTGGAGGAAGATCCCAGAAACTCAACTTCAAAGCAACACCAATTTTTTGTTCTTCTTGGTTCAATGTCCTCTTTTCTGTAAAATGTCCCTGGTTCGTTAAGAAACTAGATACTCCTCCATTTTTTTTCTTTTAACAAAAGGCATATACATTTATTTATATAAATTTTATGTGACATGCAAGCTGTTAGAAATGAAGACTTAGGCATATGCCTGTGGTTCAGACCGGTAATCCTAGCTATTTGGGAGGCTGAGATCTAGAGGAAAGTGGTTCAAGGCCAGCCCAAGCAAATAGTTCACAAGACCTTCATCTCCAAAATAACCCGAGTAAAAATGGGCTGGAAGTATGGCTTAAACGTTTTGCAAGCACAAAGACTTGATTTCAAACCCCAGACACACCAAAAGAAAAAAAAAAAAAAGAAAGAAATGAAGACCCAAACACCCAGGGAAAAGTGTGTGGTTTTGTGGACTGTCATGCAGAATTATGATTGAAGGACAAAGGGGTTTGATGTAATGGTGATAAATGGGGTGGAGGAAGGGAGGATTAACAAGGCCTGTTTGTTCAGATTCTTCTGGGCCTCCAGGTATAGGGTAGGACTCCTCTGGAAAGATGATCTTATGGCTTGCTTTCAGGGGGAAATAAGTCAGAGATTTCTTTTATAGCCCATTTCAAAGAAGAAAGGTGGGAGAAGATCAAAGAATGAACTTTTTGCTTCTGTGACTTTCCCAGTTTCTTCAGCTTAAAGTATTCAGCACACCAAGGTGCCATATTTTGGAATAGCATTTCCTGCATCATATATTATTTTCAATCATGAAGCCTACAAGACATATATAGCTGACACAGATATAGGCTACACTGGGGATTGAACTCAGGACCCCATGCTTGCTAGGCAGGCTCTCTACCACTTCATCAGTTGTTTTTTGTTATGATTTTTTCAAGATAGGTTCTCACTAACTATTTCAGATTTGAACCTAGATCCTCCTGATCTCTGCCTCCTGAGTAGCTAGGATTGCATGGGTGAATACCTGGCTCAGAACTACATTTTATTATTCATTCCTAGCATTTCACCTGGCATGCATAGCATCTCTCCTACTTTATTGAGGTATATGCAATCAACTGCATTTGTTTAAAATGTACAATCTGTAATTTTGACAACAGTGAGTTTTGACACCAGAAAAACCATTGCAACCATCATAACTGAGATACAGAATGTTTCTATTATCCCAAATCTCCCTCTTCCACCCCAGACCCAGGTAGACACTGTTTTCCTCTTACTATGAATTAGTTTGCATTTTCTAGAATTTTATATAAAATGGAATCACACACATGCTGGGTACTCATCCTTGACTATTTCCTCTGCCCTTTGCATCTTTATAAGTAGTTCTGATTCAGTGTTCATTACTTGCACAGGCCCCTGCCAAAGGCCAGACCTAATTTTGCTTTGTTATTTTATATTGTTTTCCTTAAAGAGTCCTCTCCCTCCCCCCAAACTGTATAATAATTTAGGTCTGACTATATCTGACCCCATCCCTTATCTACTTTTAAAATAGTAACTATCATGTTTTCCTGTGATTAAATTATTTAGATTTCTGAATCTCCAGACCCAGCACAGAGTAGCAGTAATTGCTCAAGAAATATGCAATGTTAAGTTTCCAGTAGTTTCACCTGCAGGTCCTTTTTTGTCATTGGGCACTTACTATTATGACATTTAGAATTCAAAGTAAGGCTCACAATTGTAGCAAAAGGAGTTGATTTGGTTTTCTAGAGAGAGACCCTTCCCGGGATTATTATGGCTGACCTTTAGCACTTCCTGTCTCAATCCTGTCTTTTGTTTCTTTTACTCATGGAACCGGAAGCTGCCCTGGCTTCACAAGAAGCAGGTTCTCCCACAGTAGCTGGCCTACCTGAGGTCCGCTTTCACGAGATACCTTTCTTGTTTTAAATAGAAGGTGTTTTAATCAAAGCAGCCCAAATTTGTTGCAGAAAGTAGAAAACAGGAAATGAGAGAATAAACATTACAAACCCATTACCCAAAAAAAATAGTTTATTCTTTTATGTGCATAGCTATTTTTTTAACGAATGATACTATCTATAGTATATTGTGAACATCTTCTAGTATGCAAATGCATTTAAATAATGGTACTTAATTTTAAAAATCTTTGAATAAAAGCGATTTATAATCTCTGAAAGTTCTAGTTCATATAGGACTGATGTTATTTATGCCTAGGTAATTACAAATACGTAATGCATCGCACCGATGTATACTATATATAAGGACACAGGTAATATAAATTTTATTTATGAGATGACGCCACTTCGTTGCACAACTCCCGGGGGCAGTATTTGCATAGAGGCGGCTACTGCGCCCAGAGTGTCAAAGATCGAGATGGATTCCTTAGGTCTTCCGGCTATAGTTAAACGTAGTGAAGTTGGGGGAGGTTCAGTTAGGGCTGGTTATTAAAAACACGTCGTTTCTTCTTCTGAAAAAATGGGCGGGAAGCGACAAGCATTTGAAAACAGCTGCGGAGGAAATCGCGTCCCAGCGCAGCTTGAGAACTCGCGGACGCCGTGGGAACGCGTCCGGGACCTCCGCAGTGCCTGCTGGGAGCTGCGCGAGGCCTGCCGGGAGCTGTAGTGCGGCTCTCGCTTCCGCGCGTGCGCGGGGCCCGCCAGACTTGGTTTCCCGGCAGGCAGCGCTCCGAGGCCGCCGGCGGGACTGGAGCTGCTGCGCTGGCCATAACAGAGTGACCTAGTTGGTATTGGTTCCCGTCTCGGCGATGGCTTCCTTCGTGACGGAAGTTTTGGCTCACTCGGGGAGCCTGGAGAAGGAGGATCTCGGCACCCGGATCAGCCGCCTGACCCGGCGGGTGGAGGAGATCAAGGTGAGGGCGGGAATCCGTTGGTGGTTTGGAGAGGGACGCCGGGTCTGTGCGTGAGGGGCCGGGGGTGTGTGCAAGGACGGACAGTGTGTCCTCCACGTCGGGGAGACTGGCGGGGGTTACGGGGGGGAGAGCCGGGAGTGGGCGGTGAGAGAAGTGTGGATTTTGGAGGAAACCTGGAGGGGAGCCGAGAGCGCGGTTGGGGACCGAGGAGGCCTGGGGCTGTGGGGAGGAAGGGCTGCGTGTCGAGGGGAGCTGGGGAGGGGAGACCAGTGGGCTGGGGACGGAGGAGGGGGACTGCGGAGACCAGAACTGCAAGCGTCGAGGTGTCTAGCGAGGACGGGAAAGAGGACAGGGCCAGCCACCCATGTGTGACCGCTCCGCTTCTCCATTTGTGATGAGCGTAATAGCTCTGGAAGGATTGCCGATCTCCCCGAAGTTTTCTTTTGAAACCCCTCGATCTGTTTGTAGAACTCTCTTCTTCACCTGAGGCCACGGTGCGTGCTGTAAAACACGTCACTGTACCTGTGCGGACTTGCTGCACAGAGCCAACCACACACAGATTCACTTTGTTAAGATATTGTTACCTGAAGGTATTTGCCCACATGTTAGATTTAAAATTAGGTGTACTTGCATAAGTCTGGACTTCAGGGAGCAAGTTTGGCAGGTACCCCAAAGGCACAAGATAGCGCTCTTCCAAACAACTTTTTTTTTTTTGGTACTGGGACCTGAATTCAGGACCTACACCTGGAGCCACTCCACCACCCCTTTTTTGTGTTAGGTATTTTCGAGATAGGGTCTCGCGAAGTATTTACCCCGGCTGGCTTCGAGCCGCGATCCTCCTGATCTCTGCATCCTGAGTAGCCAGGATTACAGGCGTGAGCCACTGGCACCCGGCCCAAACAACTATGATTATACAAAAGTTGCTTCCTAAATTTTTCGTATGCATATCACTGGCATCTCTGTAACATGGCTTTAGGATTTTTGGCTAGTTGGCCCATTTTTTCCCCCGAGTCTCCAGATTTTGCTTATATTGCCATTTTTCCATCTTTATACCCATTGTTCAGTTTCTATCTCAAATGTAGTCCTCTGCATAAAAGTGACCCTTTTTCTTTCAGACAGGCAATCTTTCTCCTTTTTTGCTTCTGGAGCACTTTGTAAGCCTGTGTACTTCTTTCAGTCTTGTCGTGGTTAACTCAGTTAATAAGTGTTTTTCCTACCAAAAAGAATTTGTGGCGGGCAGAATCTTTTCTTGTCTGTCGCAAAACACTGAATAATTTAATGCAGAATATGCAATAGTTTATTAAGTTGATTTGAATTAAAAGAGATGCTAAAATCATTTTATATGTTTAGGAGGTCTTGCTGGGCACTGGTGGCTCATGCCTGTAATCCTAGCTACTCAGGAGGCAGAGATCAGGAGGATTGTGATTTGAAGCCAGCAGGGCATATAGTTCCACAAGACCTATCTCAAAAAGCCGTCACAAAAATAGGGCTGGTGGAGTGGTTCAAGGTAAAGGCCCTGAGTTCAAGCCCCAGTACCACAAAAAAAAAAAAAAAAAAAAGTCCCTAAGTGGAGAGGTCCAGAGAAAGAGGGTGCAACCCAAACATATGAGTAAAAAGCCATGACAAGAATATGAATTAGTAAAATTGACGTAATTTTTCTGGAAAAAAAAGATTAGTCTTTAAAATGTTATAGGTAAGAAGATAGAAATTAGTAAATTGATTAAAGTATACAGAGTATAGATTTGATTTATCCATTTACTTTAGATAAATGGTTAAAATTGGTGCATACAGTCTGATATAGTTCAATATGAGGACTTCTGGCTCCTCCTTTTTCATTTCCAGCATTGGTACAATTCTTGGACATTGTTGGAGTTTGATAATTGTTGTCTTCTTGCACCCTTGTAATGTATGGTGCCCATAAGGGTGGAAAAAATGTGTTTTTGAAAGAAACCCATTGGCTTGGAAGGAAGGTGAATGACTGTTAAGAAAGTTCCAAGGAGGGAGATGTCCTATGGGAGACCAACTGTATATGCTTAATAAAGTTCCTTATTCATTTCACCAACTTACACTTCATCTGTCTTACAGGGCGAGGTGTGCAATATGATCAGCAAGAAGTACAGTGAATTCCTGCCTAGCATGCAGAGTGCACAGGACCTGGTTACGCAGGTGGATACATTATCTAGTGATATTGACCTTCTGAAGTCCAGGATAGAGCGTGAGGTAAGAAGAGTTTGTTATATTGGGTCAAACAGGGAAAGCGTTTCAGTGTTTTTGTAGTTTATAGTTCAGCTTCCTGATTCGTAAGACAAATCAGTTCATATACCTTGGTAAGTAGAGGTTGAACCAAATGATTTGAGGGTGGCTTCAATTCTGAATTAGAAATATTTTCCAAAACTACTATGAAATTACTTCTAATTTTGAAGGGTGGTGGTACTGGGGGTTGAACTCAGGGCCTAATGCTTGCTAACTAGATGTTCTACAACTTGAGCTACTCTGCCAGCAAATTCTTTTTTTTGTGATAAAAATTTTTTTTTAGCTACAAAATTTAGCATTTGAATAGCACTTTATAAATTAAAATAATCTCACGACTTTATTGTTTTCATAAGCAAATTAAAAACAGATGAAGCTTAGAACTAGGTCATTTGTCCATTTGTCATGGTTTGAAATGCTTTCATCTCTTAATAGCATTCTTTTACATCTGCGGCTAGCTTCAACACATTCAGACTTCAGCACAATCTTCCTTGGCTTTTGACCTTTTTGAATCCATTGGTTACCTAGAAGATCTATTTAGCAGCTCATTCACAGTCATTCTTACTATTTTTTTTTTTTTTTTGGTGGGACTGCGTTTTGAACTCAGGACTTCAAACTTGCAAAGCAGGTGCTCTACCACTTGAACCACACCTCCAGTCCATTTTGCTCTGGTTATTTTGGAGATGGGAGCTCGTGAACAGTTTGCCTGAACTGACCTAAAACCTTAATACCTCAATCCTCCCAGTCTCTGCCTCCTAAATAACTAAAATTACAGGTGTGAGCCACAAGTGCCTGGCCTTCTGATTACTTTTTAAGAAAAAGAAATCTGATACTATGTAACCTTGGCATAGTTAAAAAAATATTCCCAGGGTGTTCTACTTAGTTGATTTTTGATTAGTGAGCCAGTAGTGTAGTATTGGACTGTGACGTAAGTGAGGTATCTGGAATAAGACAATAATCACTTTCTGTACCTTTTTTTGACCTTTTTTGAGTCAGTTCTGTTTTTTCTGAGATAGCATTTCACTATGTAGCTGACCTTGAAATCAAAATCCTCCTGCCTCAGTCTCCAGAGTACTGGCATTACAGGTGTGTACTCCTTGTTTGGTTACTGTATTTTGAAAGATGCCTCGTCTAGATGAAGAAAGTCCTGAACACCATGTATATATGTATACTTTTTTTAATTTGGCAGAACTGGGATTTCAACTCAAGGCTTCACACTTTCTAGGCAGGTGCTCTACCACTTGAGCCACTCTGCCAGCCCTTTTTTTGTGTTGGATATTTTCAGGACAGGATCCTTCTGATTTCTGCCTCTTGACTAGCTAGGATTGCAAGCATGAGCCACTGGTGCCTGGCTGAACACTGTATTGTTGAAGAACAATGAAAAAACCTAAGGATGTTAAGCCTTGGGAAAAAATACTTTTAATATTTGTAGCCCTGCCATATGGGAGAAAGATTTCAAATTTATGCTATGTATATTTTGGTTTTTGGTAGGACTGAGGAAAAGATTCAAATTTATGAAACTGGGTGCTAACACTTGAGAGGTGGAGGCAAGATTGTCGTGAGTTATATATTGAGACTCTCTCAAAAACAACAACAGGAAAACCCAAGTGTATGGGGAATTAAATTCAGTAGGTGGATGTTAGAAGGTGATCTGAGGATACTGTATTGATGGGAATGGGTTTTTCACAGGAAGAGGCTCTGGACTTCAGGGTCTCTCTTCTTCAACTCATCTTCTGTGATTTTATTTCAGCATGAGCTAACATTTAAATTTCAGCATGAACTATATTGCCCTAAAGTTTATTGATTAATTGTAATTGTTTTATTTCTGAAGTATGGTATAGCTTAAAAGTACTTATTTTTGATTTATGAATTAGGTCATTCGGGATCTTCATGTATCAACTGCTGAATTTACAGACTTGAAACAACAATTGGAAAGAGACTCAGTAGTCCTAAGTTTGCTTAAACAGCTACAAGAGGTTAGTAAACTCAGCTTGATCTTTAGGTTGGTAAGAAAGTTTTCTTTTTTTCCAGTTGTTCTTATTGTTCAATGCATATTCCTTAACTAAATGGTGTTTTATCACATTTTAAAAGCAGATAGACTTGAAATAACAGAGCATAGCAAATAAAACACATATTTGAACTTTTCAGTTTTCTACTGGTATTGAAGAATACAATTGTTCATTAACAGAGAAGAAATATATCACTGCTGCTCAACATCTGGAAGAGGTACTTTCTCTAAGCATGACCAGTTAGTGTTATTCTCGCTCTTAATATATTTTGTTTCCTTTCTATTTTTAATCATTATACAAGTGTATTGTAATTGCTGTGCGTCACGATGGACTATTTAACAATGCTTCCATTTCATTCCCAGGCACAGAAATGCTTGAATTTATTAAAATCCCGAAAATGCTTTGATTTAAAAATGTTGAAATCTCTCAGCATGGAGCTCACAATACAGAAGCAGAACATACTTTATCACCTTGGGGAAGAGTGGCAGAAGTTGATTATATGGAAGTTTCCACCATCAAAAGGTGCTGCTGACCTCAGGTGGACTGCTTTGCTTAATCTGTCCGAATGAGAAGGTTTCATTCATCTCCAAAGGCTGCATTGAGTTCTCATGTTAAAGAAAATGCTTTGTTATGACCAACTCATCTGAGTTCCTAAAGTACCCTCACTGTACTTCCTTTACATTCCTCTTTCTGTCTCTCCTAGGAATGTGAGGAAGGATGATTGGGTGATTGGGGTCCAAGGTGAGGAGGTGGTAGCAGTTTGCAAGGCAGTGGAAATTTGATAACAGCCCTAATCCCAGCTGTTTGTCATGAATAGTTTAAAGAAGCTGTTCATCCATTCTTTCTGTTGCTAATGAAAGGAGGCAGTGAGCTTGTAGGCAGCAGAGGGGTTTGGCTTATTTTTTTTTAATCAGTCCTTGGGGAGAATTAGTGATAAAATCATGAAATGAGTTGCTTTCAAGATGAATAAATACTATTACTGTGGCCCTGTCCTTGATCTCTGTTACTTGTTTGCCAGTCCCTTTGTACTTCTTAGTGTGAGCTTTGACATAGTGTTTGCTCTGAGAATAAAACCTCAGAAAGTGTATGTGGAGGGCATGTCATTGTACCCACTGTATTTCTCAACACTGGATCTTGAGATTTAGTGCCTTTCAAGGGAAACCTCACACACAGCATCCCCCTGCTCTGTTCCTATACCAATTTCAGCACCCCAAATACATTATGTATGTATGTATATGTGCATGTATATATATCACATATATGTGTATATATATATATATATATATATATATATATTATATATATCACATATTTTGAAGGAGTAATGTCGAAAATTTCAGATTGTATTCCCAAATAGATTACAAATTAAGGGAAGCCGACAGAAGTGTTGAACTCTTTATTATAGCACACTCTACTTGTTAAACTTGTTTGTTCTATTGGTTAAAAAAGAAAGTGGAAGAGGAGGCCTGTGAAAATAGGAGCTCATTTTTCAGTGCTTTTTTTTTTTTTTTCATTCACTCATTCAATGCATATTTAGTAAGAGTTTCTTTTAGGCACATCGTCTTTCTTTTGCACTTAATTTGATTCTTTGGACATACCAAAAAAAGTCATCCTGTTTTATTAAAGTTATGCAAAGAACATGTATATCATAAATACTTGATTACATTAGAAATATATCATAATGAAACTGCATAGTTAGGAATACCTGTAGAGAATAGGCCATAAGGAGAACTGGGAACATCTTGTGTTGCTGAGCAGCTGATATTTTTTTCTTTTCTCTTAGATATCAGCAGCTTAGAATCTTACCTGCAGACGGAACTTCACTTATGTACTGAACAATCCCATGAAGAGGAGAAGACCCCTAGGCCATCTATCAGTTCTGTCCTCTTGGCATTTTCTATTCTTGGAGAACTACACATGAAACTTAGATCATTTGGTAAAGCATGCTGCTTTGTTTCATTCACATGAAATCTCAAAAGGTCAAGTGTTAAAGCAATGACAGGGAGTACTATAAATATTCTCTGTAAAGTATTAATGACAATGTTTGGCCTATGACTCATCAAAATCAAAGGCAATTGTCATATGTATCATTCTTATTAAAGGCTTGCATCATTTCTTTTTTCCTTTTTTTTTTTTAATAACAGAATCTGTAGAGAGTCTGGGAAATCTTAGTGAGAAAACCTATGGTGCAGGATTTTGTGGTAAATGTATTGAAGTGAAGCTCAAAGGTCCATATTTTTTTTTTGATATGCTTATTCTTTAGAAGTTTCTCTAGTGATTTTTCTTTTTTTGGTGTGATCAGGGTTTTGAACTCAGGGCTTCATGCTCACAAAGCAGACACTTCACCATTTGAGCCACACCTCTAGTCCATTTTGCTCTGGTTATTTTGAAGATGGGGTCTTGTGAACTACTACCCTGGGCTGGCTTCAATCCATGATCCTTCTGATCTCAGTCTCCCAAGTAGCTAGGATTATAGGCATGAGCTACTGGCACCTGGCTGTAATGACTTGATGGGTGTTCATATGATCTTTCAGGTCAGATGCTGCTGAAGTATATTCTTAGGCCTCTAGCATCTTTTCCATCCCTTCATGCTGTGATAGAAAGCCAGCCTAATACAGTTACTGTTCGTTTTGAATCTGTGATGACTGACTTGGAACATCCATCACCATCTGATGTTTTTGCAAAGATCCGATTGGTATTGGAAGTGCTCCAGAAACAGCTTCTAGGTGAGTATCCCCAAAGCAGTGCTTTTATATTTAGGGAAAATAAATACGGTTTTAAAAGGTAAATATTTCAAAGTAGAAATGTCTGCAGTGCCATACATGCAAAGTAATATACCTTCTTGTCAGTACTGGGTTTTGAACTCAGGGCCTCAAGCTTACTAGGCAGACACTCTACCACTTGATCCATGATCCCAGCCCTGGAGCAAAAGCGCTGGTTATTTTGGAGATAGGGCCTCATTTTTGCCCGGGCTGGCCTGGACTGTGATCTTCCTATTTTATGCTTTCTGCCATCTGTGGGCTGACAGGTGCATGCCACCAAGCCCAGCTTTTTTTTTTTTTTTTTTTCCAGTTGAGATGGGGTCTCATGAACTTTTTTGCCAGGCCTAATTTGGAATCGTGATCCTTACCATCTCAGTCTCCCACAGAGCTTGGATTGATTACAAGTATGAACCACTGGTGCCTGGCTAGTATTTACCTTCTTATTCCTTGCCTGCTTTGCATTTTTTTTCCCTCCGTCTTATATTGACAAGTTGGGTCATTAGTCATATCTCAGATTCTATATTTATAATGTTATATTAGTTGAATTCTAGGTTGTATTTTTGATACAACCCTGGATTTCTTATAACATTACCTTTTGGGATTCCTACTTTAATTATAAGGAGGAGAAATTAGTAAGTATTGTTCTACATATTTCAATGGGAAAATTCTCACCAATCTGATATGAACAAATTAATTTTTGTGTTTGTTTGGTTTTTTCTTTTCTTGAGACAGGGTTTCACTATATAGTCCAGGCTGGCCTTGGACTGGTGAGCCTCTTGCCTCAGGCTTCGAAATGCTGGAATTACAGGCGTGAACCACCAAGCTTGACAAAACAAGGCTTAATGTAGGAAATAGGTTACATTTCAACTTGGCCTGTTGGTTAGATCTTTAAATATTCATATTATAAACAGCCAGTTTTTGTGTTTCTTTGAGTCTGTTTTCTTGAATGTCACTCTATTAAAAGTAAAGTTTCTTGTGGTTTATTTTTTATTTTTTAATAGTAAAAATGATAGCAAAGTTTATTAAGAGATGATTATACATTCAGTAGACTGAAAGCAGGTTGCCTCTTGAGTGAGAATGAGAACAACTTGTGGTGTTTGTTTTTTTAGTCTATTTGACTTAACTTCTTTTTGCTTTTCTCAGTTGTCTGTGGAATTGTCCAGGCAGCATTCTTACTTTGGAGAAAATTTTTTTTAAAAATGCTACTGTTGTTTGTAGGACTTCCTGACAGTCCTACAAATTATATATATGAATATATAAAGTTAGAAATTTTTTGTTAGTTTTAACAGGAGCAACTACAGAAATCCAAAGTAGTTTTTACTGTTTTCAGATTCTTCACTTAGGGAGAAATATAATTTATTTTTAGTAGATATAAACAAAGTTATAAACAAGCATCCAAGGATTGAGAGACAACAAGAGAGAGGCAATTTAATCCAGTTATCTCTGATGCTTGAGTCTCCTCTGTAATATTCCATCAATTGGTCAGGTAGCCATCCTGAGCCTGTAGTGAGTGAGAACTCACTTCTGAAGGTATTCATCCTGCTCTGGAGCAACTCTGAGTACCTAGAAAGTTTTTTTTCTTAAAAACTCTGTATCCTGTCTATACTGAATACTATTACCAAAATGCACATTTTACAAATTTAATCTTTAGGGTAGTTGTCTAAAGAACTTCTTAAAACTATATTGCCCTGTGTCTGCTTTGTTAATTATATTTCTGTTTTGTGGAACTGTTTAGAACAAGGCTAATTCCCATTTCACATGGTAGATTTTCTGGTTCTTTACAGTAGCTGTTATTTTGTGTACATGTTACCCCAATATAAACATTCTCAGTTTTTCAGATGATAGTTTCAAATTCTCTTTATCTTCATTGCACTTACAGAGTTAGCAGGTTTGGTTTGTTCTGAAACCTCTTTCCTTGTCTTGTCTTTGGCCTTCTCACTGCACCAACTATCATATTTTCTCAGTGCACTATCATTTCTGGTGTCTCTTCCTCTTCATATAAGGACACCAGTCATCCTGGATCTTTAACCTTAATTACCTCTTTAAAGGCCCTACCTCCTAATCTTGTCCCGTTGGGTTAGGGCTTCAACATAAATTTTATGGGACACAGTCAGTCCTTAGCAAGTGTGTGTGTATGTATTTGGCAAATTCAAACACAATACACACACCTTGTTTGTGCATGATGTAATATTAGTAAGGAAACGAAGTACTTTCCCATTTTTTATCTCAGAGTTTTAAATACTTGGCAAAGTTTCTTTTGTTTGAAGAAAATCTTGATTTCAAGATAACAGAGTAATAAATCTTTCTAAAACTCTTACAGATTCAACTAATGAACATTGGCAAAGAACATAGGATCTTTATATTTATTGTCTTCTGTTTCTTTCAACAGTTCCATAAACCAGAGACAATTTTATAGTGTTTGCATGTATATAATCTGAATGATTTAAACTGTATTCATTTTACTCTTCAAAGAGCCTGTTTCAGGAAAAAAACCTAACACAAACATATAGTAAAGTAAGAAGGGAATCACTAATAACTTGTTTTAAAATTCCAGTAAGTGTGGAATTTTTAACCTAACATGGTACTATAACACTGTTGTGATAGGAACAAATTTTTTCATGTCTAACTAAAATTCTCCCTTGACAAATGTAAAATGTTAAAAAAATATGCTGGGAAATTGATTTTTTTTAAGACAGTGAATTCACAATATTTCTTTGTAAATTTGGAAGTCCTTTTTGATCAAATGCTCCCAAAGTATCATCTAAAACTGAAGAAAGATATTTGCAGTTGAATCAGTTGTTCTTTGGATATTATTAGAAAGATGTTTTATGGACAGTATTCTATGATAGCTTAAAGACCTTCCACATCTTAAAATATATCCTTTCTTTGTCATTTCCTAACAAAATCTAGCTGAAATAATAATTGGAATAGTAGTTTATTTTGCTGTCTCTCCATCTAACAATGGTTTTCTTTTTGTCCAAGAATTGAAGTTACTTTATAACTGGCCACACAGTTTTGGAGATTTAGTGGTGATTTCAGGTGATTAATTTGGGCAATTTGTTTTAGAGAAAAAACTTGAAATTTCCAATACATTTACTGAAAATATTTCTTACTATTGACTGGTTTATTATCCTAAAATTTTGTTTTTGCTCTATTGTAGCAAATTGTAGCTTCATTGTGATGTTTGTGACATACTTCCATTTTCGTTTGTTTTTGTGTTTGAGGCAGTCTCATGATCTACCTCAGGCTGGCCTCTATTTTGCAATCCTTCTTCTCAGCCTCCTGAGTGCTGGGATTACAGACAGTACACCAAGAGTGACATACTTTCTTCCAAACATTTTTTCTTTCAGGATACTACTAACTTCTGCATCTTACCTTGGTTCTTCATCAATATTATGCCTTATATTAAATTTAAAAAAATCTGTACATAGTTATTTGCTTAAACTGGAAAAATAATTAAATCATAAATAAAATATGTATTTTGATTACCTTTTACAGCTTAATAGGTATCACACCAATTTGTTTTGTATGCATAAAATATTCAAATAAATACTACACTGTTACATGAGTGTATAGAGAAAGAAGTCATTGCAGTGGAATCAACTTGTTTATACTGACTGGATCACCAGTTACGTGTCTAATGCACGTGTGACAGTAATATCTTATTGATGCAGTGTTACAGTGAAATGTCCTATCAGAACAATGAATTGATGTTTAACAGAAAGTATTTTACATGGCTTCCTTTTTTTTTTGCTTTAAAATTTTTATTCAAAAAACCCTACAGAGGTAGGAACCAGGTACAGGTACATGTCCCTTTACTCAGTTTTCCCCAGTGTTAACATCTTGCATAGTTAGTGCAATATCAAAACCTGAAAGTTTATACTGGTACACTTCACAGTTTTTTCAGATTTTACACACTGTGTGTGTGTGTGTGTGTAGTTTTATGCAGTTGTATCATACATGTAGATTTTTTTTTCTTTTTTTGGCAATACTGGGATTTGAACTCAGGGCCTCACACTTGAGCCACTCTATCAGTCCATGTGAAGATTCTTGTAACCAGTACTGCAAATAGGAGAGAGAACTGTCCATCACCACAAGACTTCCTTGTGCTTTCCCTTCATAACCACACACCTTGCTTCCATCTTTAAACTTACATTTAAATTAATTTAAAAATATAAAAATTAGTTCCTCAGTTACACTAGCCACATTTTAAGTGCTTAGTAGCAAAATGTGGCCAGTGGCTACAAACTGGACTTTAGGCTCTGTAGAGATCAAGATGATATGGTCACCTTTGCTAAGGCTTGATCTGTTAAGATCTTTCTTGGTGAATCACAGAGATTTAAAATAGCTTTATCCCTTTTATGATTCCTCTTCTGTGTTGGCCATTGTTCTTAACTTCTACTTAATTGATTAAGAGGTATTCTAAGTGTAATGTCCTTTAAATATGTTGGAGAGGTAGACATTGGAGGAGACATTGAAATTTTTTGTTTGCTATGCCTAATGTTTTATTGTAAAGTGTTTGCATAGAATCTAAATGCTTAAGATAAGCATTCAGATTCCATGCAAAGATAGAAAATGTAGAATTTTATTCTAAACTTGTTTTAACTTTGAATATTGAATATTTTATGTCAAGAACTTCTGAGTGCTTGACATCCAGTCGATTAGTAACTTAGTAGTAGATAATTGCAATGTTGATGGCTTTATACCATATTGTTACAGAGTGCAGGATTCATCTGAGCAGTGAAAAGAAAACAGTCATAATTGTGTGTCATGTATTGCCCCATGCAGTTGTGATGGCTAAAGAATTCTGTCTTTGCTGTTTCTCTTCCTATCTTAAAATTAAAGAATTCTAGAAAACTAGGGAACCTAAGAAGATGTCAGGACTGGGAATGGTTTCTTATTGAAGACTTTTTCTTTTGAATTCAGATTTGCCCATTAACAGTGACCTAGAAAATGAAAAACACATACAATCATATTGGCTGAGATGCTTGGTGATGTGATCTGGGAGGACTTGTCTGAATGTCTCATCAAAAACTGTTTGGTTTACTCTATTCCAACAAATAGCAGCAAGTTACAGCAGTACGAGGAGGTAAGAGCAGAGATGATAGCACAGGTTTTGGGACACTGAATTCCTGTTGCTGTTTTGTTCCTCCTTGCCAATATTTTGTTCTTAGGTTAAAACTTTGAGAGAAACAAATATTTTATAACTCCACTTTTTTCTGTCTGTCTGCCTATCTCTTTGGTTGGGAAAATATGTTTTTCTTATTAAGTATATTTTCCTTATTCTCGCATCAGTTATAGTAGCTATTCTATGACATCTTATTTTTTTTTTTTTGCTTCTTTTAATATTCTTGAATGCTAAATAAGTATATTTAAAGATCTTTGTACTTTACAAAAGAATGCTTTCAATTGAAAATGAATTTAAGTCTAGAAAAGTGTATGTTTTTAAACCTAATAGTTGATTTATTTTAAGGCCTAAGTGACCATCTTGGTTCTTATTCTTAACAATACACTGGATGTGCAGTTGGTCCCTTGTAAACATGGATTCTGCATCCATGCATTCAACTATAGACTGAAATAGCTTGGAAAAAAAAATTTGCTAAATATATAAAGACTTTTCTACTAAATATGTAAAATCAAATCCTACTCTACTAAATATGTAAAAACTTTTCTTCCGGTCATTATCCTTGAAAGTATAACAGCTATTTACATAGCATTTACATTGTAGTAAGTATTGTAAGTAATCTAGAGGTGATTTAAAGGTTATGGGAGGATGTGTTATATGCAAACACCAGGCCTTTTTTATGTATGGGACTTGTGCATCCACAGATTTTAGTATCTGAGGGGTGTCATGGAACCAATCCCTCATGTACTGAGGGATAACTGTATGCAATTATTTTCTTGTAATTTTTTAAATGTTTTTCTCTCAGATCATACAATCTACTGAAGAATTTGAAAAATGCCTAAAGGAGATGAGGTTTTTAAAGGGAGATACTACTGATTTGCTGAAATATGCTCGTAATATCAATTCTCATTTTGCTAATAAGAAGTGCCAGGATGTGATTGTGGCAGCCAGAAACCTAATGACCTCTGAAATTCACAACACTGTGCAGGTACCAGAATTATATTACATTTAATCTTAACAGTTCATTTTGGGATACATATGGTAAAGTAGGAGAGCATAATAATTGCTGAGCTCCCAGATGCCAGGTATTAATCTTCTGAACATTAGTTTTATCCTATTTAAAGTGGTCCTATCTAATATGTACCATTTTCATTGGCCATTCTGAGATCCAAATAAGACAATGCATTGAAAGTGTTGCATAAATTGGAAAGGTTTGAGTAAATGTAATAGATTGCAATTGTTTTAATGCACAGTGTATGACATGTATACCGATACATTATTATGTCCAGAGATTTTATCCTGTTGTGAATATATTGACTTCATTTTTTAGGCTAAATAGAAGGACTAGTTTTGAGGTAAAAATAATAAAACAAGCAAAGAACAATACAAGATATAAATAATTATTTGGAAGTTCAGTGAACTAATTAATTTACAGGGAGAGTAACTTTAGTCCTTGACCTTTGATAATTCTGTGCATTTTTGTTTGTTTTATTTAGCTTGCATGTATAAGGTAACATTTGGTAAATTCAAGCAAGATATCTCTTAGATTAAAGTGAAACATAGGCTAAGGCATTCTGTAGTAAATTTCCCAGCCACTTTTCTGGTGTTGCTGAAGGTAGTGGGCTCTTGCTTAATCCCTTCCATCTTCCCTGCCCCATTCTCCTTGGGGTACCATTTTTGTGTCCATTTCAACAAAATATTTAATCAGCCATTTGAAGTACACAGTAACACATTTTGAGGTAATTTTGAATTTAGGAGAGCTGAAATTTACTTGGTGCAGGAACTTTGCTGTGGTTTCTTTTAACATAAACATTGTTTGATAATGTTATTCTTCTTTCCAAGATTCAGTTGCTTCCCATTTCTTTTCTAAAATGATCCAGTAGCCTTCTTGTGGCCTATAGGGCCTCACATGAACTGTCCCCATAGCCTCTTTAATTCCACCTGGTGTCACATTCTTCCATCGCTTTGCTTCATGCACCCTGGACTCATTGCTGATCCTTTTTTTTTTTAATTATTTTTTTAATTCATATTTGCATACAATGTTTGGGTCATTTCTCCCCCCTTCCCCCACCCCCTTCATTGCTGATCCTTGAATGTGCTGGGTCCCCACTTGATTGCAGAACCTTTGACCCTGTTGTTCCTTCTGGAACATTCACTGCAGATACCCTCATGACTTACCCTATTGGAAGTGCTTCCTGACATTTTTAAAATATTGTGACCCTTCCTATTTCCCATGCTCCTTCCTTATAGTTTGTTTTTTTTTTTTTTTGTCAATACTAGGGCTTGAACTCAGGGCCTCACACTTACTAGGTGGACACTATCACTTGAGACTCTGCTAGCCCCTTTATTTCTCTTTATATTGTTTATCAATTGACATTTTGTATGAATTATTTATTGTTTTTCCCTCTCTAAGAAGTAAGCTCCATGAAGGGCAGGGTTTTTGTTTTGTTTTTTGACTATTTTGATTGTTGTTGTATTTCCAGCACCACATATTTGGTGAATGAATTAATATATATATCTCAGTCATTTGTATTTCACCTCCTTGATATAAATGGTATTACTACTGAATTGCTCTCTGACTCTGGGATTAATCTTTTAACATTCCTGGGCCTTATTTTCCACTTTATGGGAGATAATCGGACTAGATCATCTCTGAACTCCCACTCCCTACTCAAGTAATTCTGACATTCTGCCATTTATTTCCATTTTTCCTGAGTACTCAGAGCTTTTATTTTATTTATTTATTTAGGGTGGTATTGGAGTTTGAACTCAGGGCCTTGAGCTTGCTAGGCATGAGCTCTACCACTTGAACCACACTCCCAGCCTCCTTTTGCTTTGGTTGCTTTTTTTTTGTGGCATTAGGGTTTGAACTCATGCTTGCTGGGGGGGTGCTGTACTACTTGAGTCATTCCTCCATCCCTTGCTTTTGAGATAGAGTCTTGCTTTATGCTCAGCCTGCCTAGATTGTGATCCTTCTACCTATGTTTCCACATAGCTTGAATGGCAGGTAAGCACCACCACACCCACCTTATTGGTTGATTTGGTGGTGGTGGGGCGGGGGGGTTGCTGCGTGCGTCTCATGAACTTTTTTTTGCTCTGGTTGGCCTTGAACTGTGATCCTCCCAATCTCTGCCTTCCAATGGCTTGAGCCATTGTAGTTTTTTTCTACTTCAGGGTTTCTCAATAATAGTACTGCGGATATTTTTTGCGTATTTTTTATGGGGCGCTGTCCTGAAGAATGTTTAGCACAGCATCCCTGACCTCTATCCTCAGTTAGTTAGATGCTGGTTGTCTTTTAGTTATGACAACCAAAAATGTCTTCATACATTGCCAGAATTGTCCCTGGTAGAGAATCATTGCTCTAGATTTTAACTGGTTATTTTTCTTGGCATTTTTGCTTAGGAATGAGAGCCTTTAAACTTCCCAACTTGAAAAGCTCTTTTTCTTTTCTGGAAACCATTTCTAACTTAATTTTTTACATGGCCTTCATCTAAATATTTTCCATATATATGTATATAGTGACATAAATAGTATATATAGATATACTATTTTGCCAAGTGAATTATAAAGCTGTGGGTGTTTTTTGTTTGTTTGTTTTTACATTTTTTTGGTTGTAAAGTAATTAGTAAAGTACTGTTATTAACACCAAATTAATAGTTTGCTAGTAATGTACTTTCTTGTAAACATAACAAAAATAAAGGGCTGGGGATGTAGCTTAGTGATAGAGCACACTTACCTGGCATGTGCAAGGGCCTTTCTTTGATCCCTAGTACCACAAAAAAGAAAAACAGAAGAAAAAAAAACCAAAAACAAAATGATTTCAAGCAATACGTGTTTAGCAGGCCAATAATGTAATTTTTTTCTTAAGTGACAGCTTTCCTGTTCACAAGATCATAATCCCTTCCAGCCATTCCAGGGGTATACAGGGATGTCACTTGCTCCCAGCAGTGTCTGGGAAAGGAACTCTAAGCTCCATAATTTGAGATGACTGTTTCTGAAGAGGTCTTATAGAGCTCTTCATTCATAGAGGTAAAATTTTAAATTCCTGTGTTTAAAAAACAAGATATTTGCTTTATACTTTTCACATGGACTCAAAAATCCCAAAGGAGCTAGCTGGAGGGCCTAAACCCTATAATTTGTCCAGGCAGGAACAGATCTTTGAGCTCTGCTGTTATTATAGCATCACAGAAATTAGGGAAATAATTCAAACGTAGCTACTGAACGTTAGCTTCATAGTAAAGATAGCTCATATAGCTAAAAACCAGTTTGTTTTCCCCAAAAGATGACATTTATAGTGCTAGTGCTAGAAGAGCAGCTTCTTAGTGCCACTAATGATTTAGATACGGAAGTCATAGTTTTCTTGTATGAGAAAAACATTAAACAAAATACAAACTGAACATCCCAGAGGCAGAAAATCTCGTGCTAAAGAATATACAAATTAAGATTTAGCCTTGGTATATAAATATTCTAAATTATTTTGGAACATTCCCTAATCACTTACATATAAGAATTTAAACAATTAGTTAAAGAGTCAGTAGGCTAGACATGGTGGTACATACCTGTAATCCCAGGACTCAGGAGGCTGAGGCAGTTGGATTGTGAGTTTGAGGCCAACCTGGAATACATAACAAGACTGTCTCAAAAAGAAAAAGAGAAAAAAGAATCAGTAGTGGGGCCTAGGTCAAACAAGTAAATATTATGCATCCTTTCATTCACTTGAATATACTTAGTGATATAAGGAAGGTAACTAACAGCACTTCATGAACTACCACATGCAATGTTAAAAATTCAAACCAGTCAAGGGGCAGGTGGTAAAGCATTTGACTGTCTAATGAAAAAGCTTAATAATTTCAGTTTAACCTTCCTAACTAAAGCAAGATCTAAACATGGAGTGTTTTCCTGTTTTTCTTTATTTATTTAGAGACAGGATCTTACTGTTAAAGCCCAGGCTGGCCTGACACTTGCTATGTCGTCCACACTGGCCTTGAACATGTGATCCTCTTGCCTTAACCTCTTGAGTGCTGAGATTCTAGGCACTCACCAACATGCCCAGCTTTTTTTGCTTTTGTGGTTTTGATGTCCTTTGGTTTTTTGAGTAAGCTGAATATACTTTCTGATAAATCCTGGTGCTGGAGGAAGGATCTAGACATTGAGATATTTTACTAAGTCAAGTTTCAGATTGACATAATGTTCCTGCTAACTCATGTTTTAGTTAGTGTGTCTTTCCAAGTCAGGAAAAGAAAAGGAAAGACAGAGACTAATATTGGTCTCTGAAGAAAGGCAAAATACTCCTAAAATTCATTTATGAAGATGTTTTTACATTTTGACCCAAGAGATATCATATTAGAGCTTACATTCCTCTATCTCAGAGTCCTGTGCCCTCTTCATAAAATCATGTTTTTAATCATATTCTGAGCTCCCTATTTTCAGACAATTATTAGAATTTTTTTGATCATCTCTACAATTATATATTTTTAATCAGCATTCAACTTGGCCATAATTTTTTATTAGCATACATTAATAGTCCAATTGTGATAATTCCATAGATGTGTACAGTGCACCTTGAACAAGTTTGCCCGCTTCGTTCTCCTTTTCGAAACAGTACTTGGTGTGGTGGGTTTCATTATGCTCTCGTATAGTGCATATATTCAATCCTTTTACTTCCCCCCAGTGCCCTTTCCTTTCCCTCTCCCTCTGTTTCCCCTCCAAAGAGTCCCCATTTTTATACTTTGTCCATTTTTATTATCATTTTAGGTCTAGATTCTGCACATGAGCAAAAATGTGATATTTGGCTTTTTGAGTTTGGCTTATCTCACTCAGTATGATGATCCACCCATTTTCCTACAAATGACATAATTTCATTCTTCTTTAGTCACCCATAATTTTTGACTATCTGTTTCCTAACACCTGTATTCTCTTTGAAACTTAATAACAGCCTTCTGAAGTAGATGCTGTTACACCATTTTATGGATTAGGAGGTTAAGTCTGCTGATTTAAACTTGGAGTGTTTTCTGTTGGAAGTGGTTATTAGACTTAGAATGTTTTCTAGTAGAAATTTTCCATAGAGGTCCAGTAAGTGCAGAGCAGAGCTGCTGTTCTTGCAGTGGGAGTGGAGAGCCCATTACTGCCTCCACTTGTCTAACTTTTCTTCCTTTTTCTCTGTCTCTCTTTTTTTTTTTTGGCCCATGAGGAATCTTTGAGAAGCAAGTTTCGAAAGCCATTATTAGTGTAGTTTATCCATTTTATAATGAGGAAATTGGGATCCAGAGAGGTTAAATGACTGTTACAAGTTAGGTTTAAAAGATCACTGCTTCTAGATTTGCAGACTAGTGTTCTTCTATTCACTCCCAAGTCTGGGAATTTTCATTCTATATAAATAGTATGGAGACTTTTGGTTTTGATTTGGAGGTTTTTTTTTTTTTTTTTTTTTTTTGGTAAAGAGGAGGATACTGCTCTGTTAGCTTTTCCTTAGACTAAGTTAACATTTGTTAGTTAATATAGCTTTATACTAGTATTAATTTAATAGTCTAGTCTGAGAAAGATGATTTTTTTTTTTTTTAATGTCTGTTCATTTACCTGAAATCTTGGGCCAGTTGCATAATTGTTATTTCCACCAAGATTGAGTGCTTAAAAGAATGATTGCTTTTTTCTTATGGTATGCTCTCTCACACAAGATTGATCAGCCTTTCACAGCATGCCATATCTGCTCAAATCTTTTAATTACTCTGCAAAGCCACAGCTTTATCATCACAGGAGCAACCAATGTCTTATTGTTTGCTGTATGCTTAGGTTTGAATTATTCTAAAACAATGTATTTTTCTGTTTCTATGTTTGAATCTTAGATTACTCCAGATTCTAAGATAAGTGTGCCAGAGTTACCCAGTCCTGATGAGGATAACAAGCTAAAAGTACAGAAAATGTCCAAACTTCAGTACAACGAAACAATGAACTTAGAGCCTGAGAATACATTGGACCAGCATTCCTTTTCTTTGCCTACATGCCGTATCAGTGAATCTGTGAAGAAATTAATGGAACTTGCCTATCAGACTTTACTAGAGGCAACAACCAGTAGTGATCAATGGTATGAATTCTGAGTCCTCTAAAAATGGGTAATGGTAAATATGTAGCTGACTAGACATTTATTAAGAAAATGAGCTGAAATTCATTGGGTTTTCTTGTCCTTTCAGTTAATTTTTTTTTAGCTAGAAAGACAGTACAACACAGAGATATATATTGATCTCCTAACTTTTACTTACAATGACGTAGATGTTAGTGCAAGGTATAAGAAATAGGTGCATGCTGTGTGGCAACTTATGCCTGTAATCCAGGCACTCAGGAGGCTGAGGAAGGAAGATTGAGTTTGAGGCCAACCTTGCTTACATGGCAAGTCCCAGGCCAGCCTGGGCTACATGGTGATACCCTGTGTCAAAAAACAAAACCATCCAAAAAAGCAGAACAAAACAAAACAAAAAAGAAATACGTGCATATATATTGGTAGACATAGGGGTTTCTTTGACATTAAAAGTTGTTAGTTACTTTTTAAAAAATCACTCTAATTTTTAATTTTTATTTTCTATGATACAAGTGAATGGTATTGCATAAGACAGCACATACAAAGAACCTAGAAAACGATTAGTGTTCAAATGCTGTTATTGGTGGTGGTGGTAATGGTAAAATGGTTGTAATACCGCTCCAGCTCGCTTTAACACTTTAGCTTTATACCTTTTGAAATGCAGGGCCAAATTAATTTACACTTAAAATGTTTATTTTTAAGGCAAAAATTACTTGCTAGGCAGCCAAAGGTAGAAGGGAAAGGAGAGAACATACCACACATCTGGCTTCACCCTCTTAAGAACCCGAACATCCTTTTGTGTGCAGGGTACCTCAAACTCTATTCCACATCTCACTCTGAAACTCTTTTTGTTTAGTAAGTGCCTTCTCTACTCCGAGATTAAATTGAGAAGAGGGTGGCAGACCATAGCCAAAGCTGATTGTAGAGCAAGTTGATAGACTGTTTAGTTTAATTCTGTGTTTAGCAGGTTTTTACTTCTTGTCCTCATAGTAGAAAACACTTTCAGTTAGGGCTTGACTTAGCAATATTGTATCTGCAGATCTGCAGTTTTTATTTTCCACATGTAAACACACCCCTTTATTTTATTTTGTTGTAGGAGGAACATGTTTACCAAGGTATTTCCATGGCTTTAATGAATCACTGTCTTTACTGGTTCATCCAGGAACAAAAATACAGTTTCTTATAAAGGAAGTACATACTTCTTTAAGAAAATAAGTATTGGAATGACTCTTTCTTCACATGGCATTCTCCTCAAATATATCAGACTGAAAGTTAGAGATGCAGGATAATATTTTTTAATTTTTCTGAGAAAACAGGTTGGAGATGCTCTTTGTTTGCTGAGTATTGGTTGACATTCATTCCACTTGAAAAAAATGGCTTTTAACCGTACAAACAAAACCACAGCACTACATCCTCTCCCCCATTATCAAACCTCAGGCAGCAATATCTTCAGCAAAAATAAAATGAATGAATTCAATCAGTTATGGTAACTAATACAGCAGTGTCTTGGACTTTTCTAAATATTGTGGAATTCCTCTTGATTTATTCAAGGCACTCTTATATAGAAGTGACACAAATCTTATATTTGCTCTTTTTAAAGTACATACTAATAATAATCTTTAGGTGTTTTAAGACCAGATTTAAAGGCCAAAAAATCTTTAGGGTTAAATCCTTCCCTAGAAAATGTTGATTCGTCTCCTTCGTTGGGGAAGAAGGAGAAAAGGTGAAAGCTGAAAGTCAGACTGATTCTAAAAGAGCCAAGTGAGTGCTTTTATTGATACCTTGCCCTTTGCAGAGTGCGTTGGTGAGTAGGTGACATTTGCTTGAGGCTTAGCTCCATTTGTTACTGAAAGGATACTCTGGATACTGGCAAAGCATAAATTGATAAATGGAAAAGAGGCTTTGGGTTGAATGATACTGTTCTTAAAATTGTTAATGGATCCTGGTTTTTGGAACTGCAGTTTAGTTAGTAAATACTGGTTGAGAATTTATTTCCATCTAGGTTAACCAAGGCAGGTTAATTCTCTGCAGCTATCGTCTTAATTGATGATTTTCATTGAAGGTGCACCTAGTCTGATTTTTTTTTTTCTCATTTTCCTTATACATTTCTCTTAAATCTTTGTTTTCTTTTCAGTGCTGTCCAGCTTTTCTACTCAGTGAGGAATATCTTCCATTTATTTCATGATGTTGTACCAACATATCACAAGTAAGTACCACTGTATCTGATTTCTGTGTAGTAATTGTAAAGTCATGTTGACAAACCAGTAATCTGCTCCCCTTCCCCCATCCGGGGTTTGAACTTAGGACTTCACTTTTGCAAGGTATGGCTCATACTGCCTGAGCCATACCTCCCGTCCATTTTGCTGTGGTTATTTTGGCAATGGAATCTCAAGAGCTATTTGCCCAAGCTGGCCTTCAGATTACGGCCTTCCAAATAGCTAGGCTTACAGGCATGAGTCAGTGGTGCCCACTTAACAATTTTGTATTTTCATCAAAGATATTTTATTTATTAAAATACACAATAAAATGTAGCAAACTCTTAAAATATTTTAAAGGACTTGGACATTTAGAATTAATTTAGTAATCTGGCAGTATGGTGGGTAATATAGATTGAAAAACTCAACAGAACTTTATTCTATTTTTAATGCCTAGGCATTTTCAGAACTGTCTTTTCTTGATTAAAAAAATAAAAAGATCATTCCATATCACTAGCCAGTAAACATAGTACAGTTTCCTTTGGCATTTGTAGTTCTGTAGATATAACACCTCAAGAGAATGCTATTTAACTGTGAAGTATGATCAGCCCACTCTTCCTAGAATCATAGGCTGTATTTACTTGATGTTTGGGACTTAAAGGTTTCTTTTAGTGTTAATCTGAAAAGTTGCTCAACTCTAAGCCTCTAGGTGTGCTCTCTGTTTCTCATATAAAATATTTTGGATGGTTTTTATAAATGTTTTTAGCAGTATGTCAACAAAGTGATTCTATAGCTAAATACTCTTGCTTTCAAAGAAAATAAATCACTTTACTGTTTGACATGTCTTTTTATTTCAGGTTTTTGAATAGTTCGGGGGTTTTTAACTAAGTCTGCCTGTTATTTTTATTTTAAAGACAGCTTATTTATTATGAATATTATTTTATTTGTATTTTCTTTGCTATGGTTTAAAATTCTTAACTCATTTTATTTGTAGTCAGGCAAAGCAAAGGAAGAGAGATAATGTTTTTGGGTTAGCTGACATCCTTGTCCTTAGTGATTTAGAGTCAGTTGGCTTAGAAGTTCCATGGCTCAGAAACATTTTTCCCATTGCTATGGTGTAAGATTTACCCCTTCTTCTCCTATGTGTGATCTTGGAATTTTGCAGAATCACCTGGATCCCATGCCCAAGATTCAGTAGGTTGGAGGATGGCAATACACCTCCTGGCTTTTTTTTTTTGGTGGTACTGGGGTTTGAAGTCAGGGTCTCATGCTTACTAAACCGGTGCTGTAGCACTGAGCCATTCTGCCAGCCTATACCTCCTGAATTTTAACAAATTTCTAAGAGATGTTGATGTTGCTTGTCAAGGGACCATACTTTGAGAGCCTCTGTCTTATATTATGGTTCTCTGCTTTGGCAGTATTTTAGAATCACTTACAAAGTTTTAAAAATAGACATCTTTGCCTAGGCCCTGCTTTTAGAGCTTTTAATTTATAGGTCTGGTGTAAAGCTCATGCATTTGTGTTTTTTAAAGCCCCACAAAGATTCTGACATACAGTTTGGAATAAGGATAGCTATCTCAGATTGTTAGTTTCTGGCTTGTATATCCTAGACTGATATCAACAAACTAGAAAGTGTTGCTTGAATGATGCTAGTGGGATATATAGCAGAAATATAAGACAAAATTTCTTCCCAAGCTGGATAGTTAGACTAATATGCGTAGAAGAATTAAAGCAGTGATTTATAAATTGTGGATGAAAATTTAAAAATAATCAGGGTGATACAAGAAAGAGTAGGAAATACTCTGGAGTTAGTAGGTATAGGTAAGAACTTTCTCAATGAAACCCCAGCAGCACAGCAACTAAGAGATAGCATAGATAAATGGGACCTCATAAAACTAAAAAGCTTCTGTTCATCAAAAGAAATGGTCTCTAAACTGAAGAGAACACCCACAGAGTGGGAGAAAATATTTGCCAACTATACATCAGACAAAGGACTGATAACCAGAATATACAGGGAACTTAAAAAACTATATTCTCCTAAAAATAATCAGGAAATATTTTAGAAAAATATAAATGCCCTAGTTTCATTCTCAAACACTATTTAATTTGTTTGGGGTGAAGCTAGCTTTGAAAACTAGTGAATTAAAAAATAGTTAACTGCTTTGTTATGTAAAGCAAGTAGAAATTTGGAGAAAGGGAAAGGAAACCTGTAGTTCCACAGACATATCAGAGTTAAATTTTAAGGGCAGTATGCAAAGTTCTGCTTGGTTTCCAGTACAAAGAGTTGATTCAGGTAAACGTCTTAATTCTCTTGATTCTTGATCTTTCTTTTTTGTTAATCATCGGGATAGGCTTTTTTTTTTTTTTTAATGGGACTGAGGTTTGAACTCAGAGCTTTGCATTTGCAAAGCAGGCTCTCTACTGCTTAAGCCATGCCACCAGTCCATTTTGCTCTATTTATTTTGGAGATGGGGGTCTCATGAACTTTTTGTCCTGACTAGCCTTGAACCACAATCCTCCAGATCTCAGCCTCCCAAGTAGTTAGGGTTAAAGGTGTGAGCCACCAGTGCCTGGCTCACTGGGATAGTTTTATAGGATATGGTCAAATTCAGACAAAACAACTAACTTGGAATGGGAGTGGGAATGGTGAGATTTTGCATCTTGCTACGTGTAGCATTTACAAAGTAGACAGTTGTTAAAGTTTAGAGATGAGATGCCTTAGGGGAGTAGTAACTTTCCCTCAACCTTGATTCTATTAACAGGTGGTTTCTTTTTTTACCCTTCTTCTTGGGCTAGGGAGAACCTTCAAAAACTTCCCCAGTTGGCTGCCATTCACCATAATAACTGCATGTATATTGCTCACCACTTGCTGACCCTGGGGCATCAGTTCAGATTACATCTTGCCCCCATTCTTTGTGATGGCACTACTACTTTTGTGGATCTCGTACCTGGCTTCAGAAGACTTGGTAACTGATTCCTTAAATTTAGGAAAATGTGGATTATACAGCTTTCTAGCCCAGTGTATCTTTAATTTATCAATGAGGTGATTAGAAATTAGGTGGTAGTCCTTAACTGTATTGGAAAGAGGGAGGGCATTTAATTTGCAAATGTTTCTAGTTACTTAATTTTATAAAATGAACGTTATTGTGAAAGCATTACTTTTTTGTGACATGATTTCATGGTACATTAGAATTCCAAACTTCATTGCTGGTGTGCATTGAATTCACTAAATCAGAGTTTTGTCAGTAGAATGACATATAATCAGATTTGTATTGTGACAGTTCTCTTAGCATTGTTGGTAAGAGCTCACTAATGTCACTTCTTGTTTCTTTCCAAACCCCAAGATAGCTCCCCCCTCACATCTTCTTTAGTTTTACTTAGGATTATTAAAAGTCAAACGAAATGAAAGGTGGTGTAAATCAATATGTTTACTATAGTCATAGCCTGAGAAAAGCAGGTTCACTTAGCTTTTCAATTCCTGGCTTGACTCTTCAGTGGTATAGATATATTAGAATAATAAGTAGCTGCTGCTTCTATGTAAGTAATTTTTCATAGCTGGCTCAGACTCTCAGACTCAAATGATTGAGAAAGATTTACCTGTTATCCTGAGAGTAAGATTGGAGGGAGGAACTGACTAGAGATAATATAAGTCATTTTTTTAGTGTTTATGATATTGTCTAGCAATTGTTTTCATGTGGGTAGAATAGATGTATGGCTTATGCTTGTCTCTCCTCTTTTACCCTGGTTTTGGTATAATTGGACAGGTTTTAGAAGTCTTTATTTTGTTTTCCAAACATAGGAACAGAGTGCTTTTTGGCTCAAATGCGGGCACAGAAAGGTGAACTTCTGGAAAGATTATCAAGTGCTAGGAACTTTTCAAACATGGACGATGAAGAGAATTACTCTGCAGCAAGTAAAGCAGTCCGGCAGGTGGGAGCTGTTGATAGTGCTGAAATTTGCACTTTATTCTTAGATGTCCCCCTCCCCCAAACCTAACATCTAACAAGTAGCACAGTTGATTGCCTTTACCCCCACTGGAAAATCTAGATACCTTTCGCAGTCATTTTCTTCTGCCCTACCAAGACAATATGAAGCTATCTTTCCATTGACCCAATAATATGCCCAGTAACTCTATTGTAGCAAGTAGTTAACTCAAGAACTTGTATATGGGAAATTTAAAATACATATTCCTGTCTCTTAAACAATTTACCTTTTTTACTGCATTTTTCCCATTATCAGAATGAGTCTGCTTTTCAACTATGAGGGATATCACCAAGTTAAGCAGTCAAGAAGCATTTATTCCTAAAGACTTTACTTTTGCATAATGCCTCTTCCCTCATTCACACATAGAATGAGAAATGTAAATCTGGGAAATGTGAGTTGTAACAGTCTCTTGTCTATACTCTGTTCTTCTGACAGGTACTGCACCAACTCAAGAGACTTGGAATTGTGTGGCAGGATGTCCTTCCAGTGAATATATATTGCAAGGCTATGGGGACTTTACTAAATACAGCAATTTCTGAGATCATCAGCAGAATCACTGCCTAGAGGTAAGGGCCATTAGATGCCTCACTGGACTTGAGATGCAATTCTTATTCCAGACTGTGACTTAAGAAAGTGATGTTGAAGTCCCATTTTAACCAATATAAATGGTAGAATAAATAGTTCTTGTTTCACATCTGACTCATGCCCTGTGGTTTTTTTAGGTTTTTTTTTTTATTCTGTTTTGCTGGAAACTTGCTGATCTCTTTCATACCTAGATAAGAAAATAGGATTGTACTGATTCTCCATCTAGCATCTGTAAATTAAAATGGGGAAATTGGAAACTGGGCAGTGGTCCAGAGATGTAGAGTATGAAGTAATTTGATTTCCAGATGAACTAAATAATTAATTTAGTAAAATGATCACAGTCTTGTGCACATACCACTTTGCCAACACACTATTGCAGTGAGTTTTCTATGTGTGATCCTATGAGGAAAATTGCCCGTACTGAACCAGCTGATACCTCTAAAGCATGGATTGACAAAATCCTTATTTGTAATAACATTCCCTGCTTTCCAGCAAGCTGCACCACATTTCCTGGAGAAAACATGCTCTTTCATGAAGGCAAATTAAATTATAGACAATCTGTTGGAACATATTTTGTGTCATTTTACCTTCAACAGTATTTTCAGAGTCAATGGAATCTAGTGTGTAGTAGGGTGGGCTAAATTGGTTGGAAAACATATTGCTGTAACTGACCCACCTGGATAGCCTGCACCAAAGGTATGGTCCTTTCCTTTGCCTACTACTCAGTTGACCCAATTCTATTCTCTTATGTTCCCTTTGTGAAAACTAGGACATCTCTACTGAAGATGGTGATAGATTATATTCCTTATGCAAAACAGTGATGGATGAAGGACCCCAAGTATTTGCACCTCTATCTGAAGAAAGCAAGAACAAGAAATATCAAGAAGAAGTTCCAGTCTATGTGCCAAAATGGATGCCTTTCAAAGAATTGATGATGATACTACAAGCTAGCTTGCAAGAAATTGGAGATCGGTATGTGCAACCTTTCTATAGAGGCATGCATATGTTTATAGTCGCAAAAGGTTAATAGTGCCATTGGTATCACCTTGTATGTTTCATGTGTGTGTGTGTGTGTGTGTGTGTGTTGCTAGGAATGGAACCCAGGGCTTGACGCAGGCTATACAAACACTGTACCACTGAGTCACACCTCCCCAGCCCTCTGTTTCTTCATATTACTCAGGAAAGAGTTTCATATTCAGTGTCAGTAGTGGGGCTTTTTTGTGATCTATCATAGTGTGGATCGCATTACCACTTTCTCATTTGATAACAGTGATGTTTCACTCGTAGTATTTTGATCTTGAACATACAATTTTGGTATATAATACAAATGACCTGACATTTGTAATATTATACCTGGATGGAAAATTTTGCTCACTTTTTAATCAAGAGTGGACGCATTTTTAGAATGACTTGATCCCCAGCATGAAAAAAGGAAAAAAAAAAAAAAAAGCTAGCTAGGCCCAGTGGCTCATGCCTATAATCCTACCTACTCAGGAGGTAGAGATCAGGAGGATTGCAGTTCAAGGCCAGCCCAGGCAAATAGTTCACAAGACCCTACACAGAAAATACCCAACACAGAAAAGGGCTGGTGGAGTGCTCAAGTGGTAGAGCACCTGCCTAGGAAGCATAAGGCCCTGAGTTTAAACCCCAGTACCATCAAAAAGAAAATAATTAATTTGGTGTTTGAACAGAGAAGTGTCTTAAGTATTCTACATCAGACTACTTTTTGATTGGCCAGTAGTTTTTCTGCAGGGAGTACAATAGTTTTAGAGGTTAATCATCATATACCAATAAAGGACTTTGTGTTTTTTGAGACAGGGTCTTGCTATGTAGTCTAGGCTTACCTTGAACTCAAGATTTTCCTGTCTTAGCCTCTTGAGTGCTGAGATTACAGGTGTGCTCTGCCATGCCTGCCATATTTTCCTAAATGTAATAGATGATGTTTTCTCCTAATACTATCAGTTAATGTTGCTATGTGCAGTAAGTGTGTGTTGCTTCATATCACAATGTGCAGAAGTTGTTGATACTGCACAAAACAGAATCAGTGTCGGCTGGTTATATGCACATTCATGGCTTTATTTATTTTTAGTGGTACTAGAGTTGAACTCAGGGCCTCATGCTTGCTATACAGGCACCCTACCACTTTAGCCACAACTCCAGCCCTTTTTGATTTAGTTATTTTTGAGATAGGGTTTTGCTTATGCCCAGGCCGACCTGGACTGAAATCCTCTTATTTATGCTTCCTGCATAGCAGGAATGATGGGCGTGCACTACCATGTGCTCAACTTTTTGTTGGTTGAGATGGAGTCTCATGAAGTTTTTTGCCCTGGCTGCTCTCAAACTGTGATCTTCGTGATTTCTGCCTCCCAGGTAGCTAGGATTGTTGGCATGAGCCACTACTCCTGATGACAGCTTCATGATGTCATGGCAGGTTATTAGTAAATACACACACTCTGTATAGGGACTCTCTGTGGACACCTTGAGATCCATCTTCATCCTGTCTGTCTGTCTGTCTGTCTGTCTTAGCTTGATTTACTGCACATACCCAGTTATATCAAACTGATCATACTAGATGTGTCCAGATTGTTTATAGCACATATTATCCATTCTAAAACAATGTGGATGAGATTTCTACTTAGAAAAAATCCTGTCAAAATACCTATAATTACACTTACTGCACTCTCAATCTATTTGTTATTTACAAGTCCTTAGTAGGTAAGAAAGATTTCTTTAGATAATATGCTGCAGAGAACAGTAGATAAGAATTTTCTTTTCTTGGACTGGAGGTATGGCTCAAGTGGCAGAGTGCCTGTCTTATCTCCTGGCCTGTGTGAGGCTTTGTTAAAGAACTGGATGTTAAGATATCAGTTTGATCCACAGTACCGCCAAAAAAATAAACAAAAAACAAAGCCATGTTTTAAAAAAACAATTTTTCTTTTTATTCTTAAAGGACCCCGTGCAGCCTAATAATGAAAAATTACGATACTGGTATATCTCAACTTCTTTTTTCTGCTTTAGAAGAGTTTTTTTTTTCACTCTTAGAGAGTCAGTAAACACAAGGCTAATGGCTTATAATGGATGAGAAAATTGTTTCCGATAGTTTCTGAGAAACTTCTCTAGTCACTTAAACATTGTAAACTTGTAAAACATACATATGAAGGGATACATTTTATATACAACATATAGTCACAATTTGAAGAAAAAGTGTAAATGTTCATGTACCTGTTTTCTCATGTTAGAAAATACAGCCAGTAACCTCTGAAGAACCTGGTGTGTCCTCCAAATGCTCTTCATCAGATACACGTTCTTGAAATTTGTGTTATTTTCTTGCCTTTCTTTATAGCTTTACAGTTATACAAATTTAAACGTGTCTGGTTTTGAGCTTCCTGTAAATGGAATTCTCTGTAACTTCCTTCTTTTCGATATTGTTTTGAAGTTCTTTCATGACACTATCTATGTGTAGTTGTGCTTTGTTTTTAGTGTTGTTTTAATTGTATAAATATTTCAGTTTATCTTGTTGCCTCACATTTTCTCTAGTACCTGGAATTGTCAGCCTTGATAATTCAGGTGGAGTACAATGATAGCCTGTTGTCATTTTGATTTGCATTTCTGTACATTTTAATGAGGTTGAATATCTTTTCATTGGTCATTCATGTTTTTTCTATTGAAAATGCCGATTTATATATAATTTGCCCTTTGTTCTACTGGGTTGTTTGTTTTTTGGTTCTTTATATATATTGAAGTTTTAGCAAGGATTTATTTTAATATAATAGGATAAAGTATGGACAAGGAAGGGGGGCAGGGAGAGAAACATTTCCTATTTCCATGCAGGAAATGGGAGCAAAGACTCCTGATCCTTTATATATTTTCAATACCAATCCTTTTTCAGTTAGAGCTTGAACTCAGGGTCTTCACCTTAAGGCATTCCACCAGAGCTATTTTTGTGAAGGGTTTTTTGAGATGGGGTCTTGTGACTATTTGCTCAGGTTGGCTTCGAACTGTGATGCTCTTGATCTCTGCCTCCTGAGTAGCTTGGATTATAGGCATGAGCCACTGGTGCCTGGCTGTGGCTCATTTTTTAAAGTGGTTACAGAGCACAAGGCCTGAGAGAATATGGTCATAATTACCAAGTTCACAGAGGGCTTACTAATAGAATAAGCTCTCTCGGTCTCTTCATCTGACTGCTGATACCAAGTGCAGCCAACCAGCAGAGACCTAAGGTATTGATGACTAGATCTGTAAAGAAGAGGAGGAATACCCAGGATTTGGAAATCGTAAATCTGTGATTACATTTAGTACAAAGTAAGACATTTTAAAAAATTTTAAATCTTGCTTTATACTTCAGAGACATAATGGGAAATAGAAGTCTATCTTTTGTTTTGCAGGTGGGCAGATGGAAAAGGACCCCTGGCAACTGCATTCTCTTCAAGTGAAGTAAAAGCTTTGATTCGTGCCTTGTTTCAGAATACAGAAAGAAGAGCAGCTGCCCTTGCTAAGATTAAATAGCTCTTCCTGAGAAAGCCATATTTGACTATGGATTCCTGTGTGGATATAATTACTGTCTTCAAGACTTCTTGGAGTCACGCATTAATTTTGGTGAACCAACATATCATGGATGTTTGACTTTGCATAAGAATGTCTTACCTCCTGGCCTGTGTGAGGCTTTGTTAAAGAACTTGATGTTACGATATCAGTTTGATCCACAGCACTGTAAAAAAGAAAAAAAAAAAAAAGCAGATAAGATGAAGCACCTCAACTTGCTGACTCTGTAGCCACCCTCCTTTAATAAATATGAAGCTGTAGGGTAACATTACTTTATGCTGCTTCCAGGGTCCTCTGGGAAATGTATACATTGCAATTTTAGGCCTTGGCTCTGGATTAAGGAATCTAAGAGATTCCACTAGTTAGGATAAAGAATATGTGAGATATTTTTCTGGAGTGGGAGGAATAAGGCACATTATCTGGCCTCTCAGGAATTAGAGAGACCTCTTATAATTTCTCTCTTTCTTTTTTTTTTTTAAGCAGGGTCTTGGTATATAGCCCAGACTGACCTTGAACTCGTGATCCTCTTGCCTCGGCCTCCTAAGTGCTGTATTACAGGCATGTACTACCATGTCTGACAATCTCTTGTAATACTTCTTTTCAGTAAATAATGTCTTTCAGAGTTAAGAGTGAGTGTCTTTAATGACATGGGAGCTTTGACAAAAGAGATCCACAAGTTTCCTTCTCTTTCTACTGAAGAATATGGCCTTCACAGAAAATTCACTGAGTTGTCATCTTTCTCCCCTATCTCAGGCAAGATCTCATTATGTAGCCCAGGCTGGCCTTGAAGTCATGATCCTCCTTCCTCATCCTTCCAAGTGCTGGGATTACAAGTATGTGCTATCACCCCTGTTCATCTCCTTTCTTTATAACACTACCTAATAATCCTCAGAATTCTGAGGATTCTTAGGAGTTCATTTAAGTATAAAATTTTGGCTCTTTTTGATTCTGCAGCTAAATTTTATTTTCTTGGCTTAATTTTCTCTCTCATTCTGAAACTCCATTTTTCTGTACCTTGTCAGATACACAGGTTTTAAATTGCCAGTGACCTTTGGAATGTATATGCCATGAGATCCTAACACTGGACTCTTATTGGTGGACATAGCTAATATTTTGGTTCAGCTATTTGTGCTTTTTAAGACTTTTCAGCCGTTGAAGGTATATTAAGTTCAGGTTTTCCTGGACCACTCTAAGACTCTAGATTGTATTTCTTCCTATTAAAGTATGGCTTCCTTTCTTAAAAAGAGGATAAGGGAGTGGATCTTTATGTGCTTGTGGGGTAAGTGTTGCTGAAGAACATTTCCTGCTTTTTTATCCTCACCCTCCCAATCCCTTGTCCTAGAACAAATTGTTTTTCCTCCTGCCTCTTAGTATTCTCTACCTTCAACCCCTGTTCTTAGTTCAGGTTCAGTCCCTTTAATCAAATCATCTGGTTGCTTAGTCTTTCTTTTCCTATTTAAAGGTCATGGAAAAACTGATGAACTTAGCTGGGTTAAAGACAAGGTATTTATCATACTCTGTCTTACTATGAGAACTCACAGGAAAAAAAATGGTCTTAACCAGCTGTGGTTTTTTTTAAGAACAAAGAAGTGGGCTTTCTTAAAAGAGGAGGATGAGGCCCTTTTCATAGGTAAAGAAAATACCTGTTTTTGAAAATTCACACAATTTCAGTTAGCATTCTTTTCTCTGCAGTTGAAAGAATGGGTAAGGGAAGAATTGAAATAAATGCAACACAGGGCTATTACACAGAACAACAGATTTCTTTTGTTAATAGACTCTATTCCTGTTGCTTGACAGGCACAACAATTTGGGGGTGGGATCTCTCATAACTAAAAAACTATGTTCCTCACTCTTTCCCTCTCCCTAGTAACACAGAAAAATAGAGTTCTTGGATTGTATAGGCTCAGTCCCTAGAGACTATTTCCCCTAATGAGTAGTTAGTAAACTATGGCACACAGAACAAGCAGACTTCATCCTCTTATCTGGTCAAGGCAATTTGTAGTTGATTATTAAGTAGATGTTCATTATGGCAAGGGATGCATCTGAATCATCTGATTGAACAGTAGGAGTTGGGTCTGGCAGCTCTTACAGGGCCCTTGAGGGTAACTGTTCTGACTGGGGCCTGAGATGGAATGGGAGTAGAGTTGTTTTGTTGTTGTTTTTTTTTTTTTTTAAATAGTACGTTGGTTATGGGAGCTCACTCCCATAATTTGTAAGAGTCTTGTAAGAGAACTGTAAGTCTTGACTCATTGAGTGGATCTACCGAGTAGAAGAAACCTCTTCCCAAAAAGCAACCAGTATTATACAAATGTCTTTAAAAAATGAAAATTTCTAGGATTATAATAAAAGGATTGTTAGAAATACAAGTCTGCAAATAACTTAAATCTGTGAGGTGATTTGATAGTGGCTCTTGTTTCTATGTGGATGATGAATTGTCATGGTCAGTTTTGCAAAAGGATATGTCAGTGAAGTAGAGATCCTCCAGATGGCACTGTGTCCTCAAACCTGGGAGATCCTGAAGCATCTAGGTATGGGCTGTGGAAATGGAAGCCGGAGAACCAGCCTGTTTTACATTGGACTCAAATTTTGGCCTTCATCAGCTCTGGAAAGATCATTAAACTCTGAACAGCCACTTGCACTGTAAGCTTCACTACATCACTGAGCAATCACTTGTGAGTAGATGAAACAGTATTTGTTTGATTAATAACATTGTTAAAGGAGAGATGGATAATCCCTTTCCTGTGAGTTCACACTTGAACCCTGAGTTCAAAGCCCAGTTTCACCAAAAAAAGATGTCCAAGATTTTCTTCTTAGTTTTTATTTATTTATTTAGTAGTGCTGGGGGTTGAACCCAGGGCCTCATGCATACCAGGCACTCTTTCACTAAGCCACACTCCCAGCCCTAGGTTTTGTCTTCTGAAGGTACAAATACACATATATATACACCTAGAGTATTTTTGTGATCATAAGCAAAAACAAAACTGGCCCAAGGTAGTTTGTCCAAGCTGCATGCTTAGTTTTTTTGTGCCACAGATAAACGAAGGTATGTATAGGAGTAACTTCTTAGTGAGGAGAGAATGATGAATGCAGGAAGGACATTGGCTCACGGAAAGTCTTGGCACAAAGTGGTCTTTCTAAATGGAGTTTTGATGCCTACAGTCTTGCTAATTATAAAAATAATTTTGAACATTTGCTTATGGTTATTTCCTCCTAAAAATAGGCATTTTGCCCAAACCTAAAATTCTCTAAAAATTAGCCCCATTTTTGAGAAAAATTTATAGTATGATTTAGATAGAAATTCCTTTCTTTGTAGGGAGGAATTTGGTTAAGAATTTTCTGGTATCACAAATTATAACTGGAAATAGCATTGGATACCTCTAGAGCAAATCAAATTATGAAATCTCTACCTAGAGGTTAGGGAGGAGGACAGTAATTCTGATAAGCCATGTAAAAGTTCTACTTTTCAGAAACCAGGTGTCTTGTTTGTTTAGTACCAGAGTTGGGTAAGAAAAATGTGGTCTTAGCCACTCCAGCTATTGAGAAAGAGACTATTTGGCCAAACACATATCGCCCACTCCTGCCACAGGCTTAAAACTGTATTTATTCATCTTTATTGTGTGGCAGGCATTATTCAGTGCTCTTAATAAAACTTCCCCAAACAAAAATTCCTTGATCTCTGTTAATGTAAATTCTAGTAACAAAGAGAAATAGCAAACCTAAAAGAAGTCAAGATAAGTGCTAGGGGAGAAAATGGTGATGAGGAATTGGAGCTGTACTTCTAAATAGGATGGTGTATCTGCACTGCCTCGAGAAGGTATGCAAGCTGTGCGGATATTTAGGTGGAGACAACCATGACCAACCCTCATGAAGGTCTAAGATACAAGTGCCTGATGAGCACAGAGAATATGGAGAAGTGGGAGCAGTGGAGGCCAGGAGAATAGTGAGGTAGTAGAAGGGAGGTAAGATTGTAGGGCCTTGTAGGCCATTGTAAAGGTTCTAAGTTTGTTTATTTATTCATTCAAATGGGACTATTTAGTGGAACCCTGAGTTCGAACCCCAGAAGGGCCAAAAAAGGAAAAAGAAACACAAACCTTAAAAAACTGGAAACATAAAAATAGAAAAGTCTGATGGACTCCTGTATATCAATCACCCAGCTTCCCAATTGTCTCAGGGTCCCTCTAACATCATCTGTATCCTTCCCTACCCCATCCCTACAAACACACATTGGCTCATTGAGGCAAATGCCAGACAGGGACTGGGAGCCAGGATCCAGCATAGCTCTTGAGTTCTAGGATTGGATGGTAGCTGGAGACAGCTTGGATTAAGGCAGTGCAATCTCTTTCCTAAATCTGAGAGGCACGCAGGCAGGTGGAGTGATCCCTGGCTGGCTTCAGTCTCCCATTTCCCATCCGCTGCTTTAAAGAAGCTGATTTGAAAGAGTGTTGTTTTCATTTGCATAAAAGGCTCAATTTATGCCTGATTACTGTGCAGTGTGATAAAAATGCATATGCCATTAACTTGTTATAAATTTCATGTAATTTTATACTGAGCTCTGTTCCTAAGTACAGTCTAAATAGTTTGTTATTGTTTAAAACAAAAAAAATTAGGTTTTTGTTTTTGTTTTTTGTTGCTTACCAACTACTTAGTAATCTGTTCCAGGATCTTTTGGAAAATTGGCTTCAGTTGCATTGATCTGAAGTGGCAGAAGATCTTTTGCCCCCTCTTTGAAAATTGGGGCACTTGCTCATGTCAATGACTGTAACGTGGTTTTGTGATTACATCTGCAATTTCTTTTATTTGTAAGTCCCATGGGATATAATCCATCTGGGTCTAGAGTTGTGAACTCATTTAAAACCCAGGTTTTCTTTTTCTATCTTTTCAACTATCTTGGACTTCTTATTCCTCTTTATTGAATTTGTTCTGTTCTTTCCAGGTTGAAGATAATTCTCTTTGATAGGAAATATGGAAGCAAAATAGTGGTTGAGCTCTTCAGCTTTCTGTCTTTTTTTTTGAATATCACATCATTGACTGTAACCATAGCCTAATCCCCCCCACCTTTTAAAAAATTGTTTCTTATTTATTTTGTGGTGCTGGGGATCGACCTCAGGGTCTCTCCCATAATTAGGTAAGCACTTTACCACTTAGCTACACCACCAGCCCATCCTAACCCTTTTTATTCCATTTTCTTTCA